TTTTTTGTAGTCTAAAACCGATTTTGGAATAAAATTACAGATATTTTGGCAAATATGGTTCAGGCTTTTTTTCGAAGATGGCGCCACCAGTCAATTCGTGATGTCATAATTAGGCGTTTTCGAAAACCCCGAACCGTTGGAGCAGCAGCTGATGTAGGTTGTTCAGCGTTTCCAAAAAAAGCCTATTGACAACAGAACCTCTTTCTCCCCTTGTGTATTTGTTTTGTTTTTTATTATTGGTTTATAAAATAATAGGCACAAAGCATGCTGTGCCATTAGTTTCCATTGAAAATAAATAAAGTATCTATTTTATTTACAACCACATACGTAATGTTGACATTTCTGACTTTTCAAAAGTTTGAAAGTGGCACTTTTTTGAATTTTACTTTCCACCCGGGTGGAAAGTAAGTTATCATTTCCTAAAATGTTTAAGACGAGTCCTGCATGTCAAACGTTTTTTTAGATGAGTAAGAACTTGTCAACAAATTTTTAAATTTTTTTTTAGTATTTAGTCGAAATTATGAGGTTTGTAATTGTTGTAAATAAAATAGTATACAAACCTCGGTAGGAAGTTTCATTCCTGTCTCGAGATTATAGTTAACTTCGACGCTTCGCGTCTCAGTTAACTAACTGATCTCTCGACAGTAATGAAACACTTTCCACCTCGGTATGTAATATACTATTACGTACCTAGGTATACATAAAAAAATTGGATCGTGTTTTGTAGGAGAAAATGTCTTTGAAAAAATAAAAAGCTTCAATAATAATTATTAAAATTTATTTACAAAAGGTGGAAAGTGCTAAAATTAGAGTTTTTCCTTTGTGTTCTTGCATATTAGTGCAATAATAATATCCACCAATGCAGTAGAGCATTCAATTTAGGTATCTGGCGATTTGCATTTCTTTTACTAGCTCTTGGATCTTCTACCATAGGGTGACCATACGTACAGCATTTCGCTATATTGTACAGCATTTTCAAAGCCTGTCCAGCATTTGATTTTGTACAGCAAACGTACAGCGATTCGGATCCGATAAAAAATAAGATTTTCTTTAAAAAAAAATTACGAAAAATTGTCCATCAACTAACGACTTTTCTACATTTGCGATTTACGTCATTTACGCCCATATCCCAGAGTATTATTCTTTTTAATGCTAACTACCTTTTTTATCTCTCTCTATTCCATGCTGCTAAGAAGAAGACACAGCATAATAGATCTGTTTCTGCAGCAATCACAAACCAATCAGCGCGAATTTCATTGGTTGAAAAAATAGTCAGAAAATCAGAAACAGTCAGAAAACTAGTTTCAACCCAAGGTTCCTAAAGTTAATAGGTTGTCTGGTAATGGGAAACAGATGACGTCATCAGGAAGTTCTAATGGAGATTTGCATTATGTTTAGGCATCCAAATGTAGGGTACGAAACCTAATCGGTATCTGTATTTGTATTTATAGGTATAAGTATTTTTTTTTGCGTTTGTAATTATGTAAATATTATATTTCTTCATTTCTCCAAATAATTCTCTTCCGACTGTACCTATTTATTTTTACATAGACTGTACCGTCACGGTTGAATAGGCGAGGCGCGCTGGATCTCAGGGTAGCAACAGGGCGACGAAAAGGGAATATCTCTATATAGGTTAATAGAAGAGGATAAAAGATACGAGCGGCAGCGATTCGCGGCAGTAACAGGGTGGCACCGAATGGCACGGCGCCAGTGGGGAAGTAGCCACGAGCGAATAATAAAAAAGACGGGTTAATCGTTAATTGAACGCTGAAGGCGGAAGACGGCCGCCAGATTTTTCCTAGACGGGGTAAATTTAAGACGCGACGTTCAATTAATTATCAAGACGTATATTTCTAAAGCCGTAAAACGACCAAGACGTGGTCGTGAAGACGTATACTTAGTTGTGAAGTTGTTATTGTGATTTTCTGTGCCGATTGTATATTTATCAATGACGTAATTATCTATTACCTATCAAATCTATCTATTTTTCGTAAATATTATTAAAATTACTTATATTTTCAACGGACCGTTACGTTTGATTTTCTGCTTGCCCCAAAATACCCCTAGACAACGATAAAAATCCTACACAAATGACGTCATAAAAGTTATCAGCCATAACCTACCTCTTTCAAACAACCTTGGTTTCAACCATTAATGACCGTTTGCACCGACCATTTCAAGGAAGCCTTAACGTTGAGTATTCCTTAAAATGACATTTTTTCATAGAGAAATGTCAATTTAAGGGATTCCTTAAAAATTAAAATGGTCGGTGCAAACGGCCATAAGGTTTTCAACCAATGAAATTCACAGAACAGACCTATTATGTTATGTCTTTAATTTTTTGTTTTTGTGTTGAATGGTACTAAAACAGGCTTTAAACTCGACAAAATTTGCATTCAGTGCTTTCTCCACTCACTAACCCAAACTAACCCAAAATTTTAGATGTGTACAGCATTCGTACAAAAAAAATATGGTCACCCTATTCTACCAATATCTGAAATTGTGTTAGACTCCCGGTAAGACTATTTTTTTATTATTCCTCCGAGTATTCCTCTATTTGTAAACCCATTCATGTGCCAATTGCTTCCTGAAAATCTCATAGGTACCTACCACAACTAAACATACCTCAAAAACAAGCTCTACAACAAAACATCACTTTTACAGAGTAGAACAAAATTTGAAGTCATACCAGGCCAGGCATGGACATACAAATCCCTCCATAATCCCATTAGCCAATCAGTGCGAACTGAGTGAAAAAAGTTGCACTGATTCTGCAAATTGAAATCGCTATAATATTTAAAATGCTCCACTGTAAAAATGCTTTCATCTTGGCACCATCTATAATTTTTTTTTAGAACTAAAATTTAATTTGTAGGGGGGGCCGTTGAGGCCTTAGGTGGATTGCACAAAAAAAATTACTCCTCATTCTTAGCACGTACTTAGCTAAGCATGATATTAAAATTTAAGTTTGCGTTGATCGCTTTGACTTGCACCAACGCTACGTAAAGAAAACTTAGCTAAGGTTAGTTTGAATTCCGAACTAGCTGGCAACACCGCAGGAATGATACCCATATTAAACGCATTTAACTTTTACAGAGTGTAGAGGTGGTCACATAACATAACATGGCAAACCAAAAGGACGAGAAGAAGGGTCGAGCACCCAATTTCACAGTTCGGGAAAAATAAATTCTGATTGATTTGGTTTCTGCCCAAAAATTAATAATTGAAAATGAAAAAACTGACAGTATTAGTTGCGATCAAAAGAAACAGGCTTGGAACAAAATTAGTCAAAACTTTAACACGCTATCACCTGCTATTTTCCCCAGAAATGTTGAATAATATATTTTTAAATATCTCGATAATAGTTATTTGTGTACCAAGGTCGTAAAGTTGATCTTTTTTGGCCGAATCAGGCCGAGGCCAAGCAAATTTCAGGTGAAGCCAAAAAAGATCATTCGGCCGAAGTGCACATAAAATTTTTTAGGCGAGTGTTTGTTCTTGAAAAAAGAAGAAAATTCAACAGTAGCTTTAAACTTTATTGATCAAATAAATAATCCAGCAAAGATAGGTAGATACACAATTATTAATAACAAAAACTACGATAAAAAGAGTGTGATTATAGAAAATTGCCGACTTTTTCGCCTGGTATCTTACATTGAGCTTTTTTAAAAAAGCAATCAATTTTGAAAACTTGCTGGTTAGGTATTTCCGATTATAATTGTAAATTTTAACATAGAGTATAACATAGGTGGACCTGAAGACCATAACGTTGAGGATTATTTAATTTTGAAAAAGAAAATACTTCTCCCAAATTTTTAATCATGATGCCGTTTTTTTTTTTAGCATTTTATGTGGAAGTTTGGATAGAGCTAAAATTAAAAACTTGGTTTCAATGGTCGCGTTCCTAAGCACTCAACATGTTGAGTGATTAGTCAGCGGCTATGTTGAAAACAGATGAAAATCACCTCTAGGCCAATCAAAACTTTTCTACCTTGAGCAATTCACTAGCTGGAACAAAGCCGCTTACTAATCACTCAACATGTTGAGTGCTTAGGAACGCGACCATTGTGGTTGCCAACTAATTGTTTATTGGTTGTGTTGATGGTTACGACACACTGCGTTTCCGATTGTTTGTTTATTTTCATCCACCAAAGTAGCGGCTGTAAATAGTAAAAGCGGCCGTGAAGTAAAAGCGGCCGTAAAGTAATAAAGCAAATGCGGCCGTGAAGTAAATGCGGCCGTAGGCGTACGCGGCCGTACTTTAGGGATGATATTGAATCCGTAAAACTAATCTTTTTGTGACAGTCGCCTAAAAATATAATTTTTATGAAATCACTACGACAAATAATTGACATTTGCATTTGACAAAAAAAAAACAATTATTTCTACCTAAGAACGTGTTAAGGTCCCAACAGTGGTGCCTTAAAATTAGGAATTCCTAAACCCATCTTAGGTGAGTTTTCTGAATGGTGCAACCGAATTTTCCTTGCTTAACTTTCAGAATAACTTAAGAATGACTTAAGACGTTCTAAAACAAACTGTGCAATCCACCATAAGGCACTTTGGTTTTAAAGAAAAATTGATATATTCCTATGGACTTTCCTGATAGATTGGCGGCCAAAAAAAACAACCATTTACACGTAAAATCTGTGCGAAAATGCAACCTATTATTTGTAATGTTAATAATATGATTGGTAGGTACTGGCATGTACTGGATAAGTTTCACAGGATAAATGGATGCTAAGATTTCAAGTAACTTTTTTTTTAATTCATGGAACGGCACATTTACCAGTGAAGAAAGGAACAAAGCCGCAAAATTGAATACCTAAACTTGAAACAAATTTAAAAAATACACAGGCAAATTAGTTTATGGCACTTTATTGAACTAATCTAAAGATATACCTATATAACACAAACCATTTATAAATAAAAGTCAAAAGTCTTCAAAAACTAATCTAATAATACAAGATAAATGATAAAATATTAATATTAAAAGTCTAGGATTTTTTTCCAGTATCTCCTCCTTCGACTTTCTTCAAAGGCCCTGTTCTTACTATAGGAATTTCCCTATATTCCTGCTTAGGTGTTTCCGGTTTCTTTGGTGCTGAAATGCTCAAAACTCCATCACTGGACAATTTAGACTGCAACTTTTTAACCTCGCAATCCTGGGGAAGCACATATCTCCTGACAAAATGCCTGGAAATGTATCCATGCTGATCCTTTTTCTCTTCATGTTTGCCTTCAACAATGACGGTGTTGTCGCCTTCAACTTTCACGGTGATTTCTTCGGGAGTAAATTGTTGGACGTCGATGTTGGCTTGGAATTGGTCCTTGTCGAAAGTGATGGAAGTGTCCTTTTGCAAATTTGCCAGTTGATTGATGGCGTTTCTCAGACGAACGGAGTCTTCTTCAGCAGGAGTTAGAAGGGATAACCAGTCCCTGCCTGGAAGAGGAAGGGCGTCTTCTAACAAGAATGGTAGCAAGGCCATGATAAATTTCACTTTTTACTTTGCACTTCAAAGTTTTTAGTTCACACGTTTCAACTCGTCGGAAACTACTGTCGAAGATGCCCCAGCGCAATTCAGTATTTATATTTGCCGCCTTTATGTCTAGAAAATTCGCTAAAATTATCGAAGGCACTCTAATAGATGGGTCACGCAGTGGTCTAAAAATCATGAAGTAAGCCAAAACACAAATAGAATTTCGGCCAATAATTTGTAATCCTGTGTGTTACTACCACTATGCTTTCGAAATGGAAAACTGCTTTAATTAAACTAGTAGTTATTTGAATTGATATTGGCATTATGGCATCACATTACCTTTTCTAAAAAAAAAACCATTTTATACGATTCACAAACGCGGACCACTGTAGCGTGTTTACAGCCATATCACGAACAACTGTTCATTGGTTCTAGAAATTCTGTAAAAAATTTCGTAAACAAACCAATAATACTAAATATAGACTTTATCTGTTTTTATTGTTTGTTTTATGATAAAACTTGTTTTTTATGGAAGCTTCCCATGCTATTTGAACAAGAACGATATATTTGTCTTCTGAAATTAACTCCTTTTTACTTTTGTAAAAGGGTCAGCAACCAAATGTTTGTAGGATCCTTGCATTTTATTTTTCAATGCGGCTGTTTCAAACCTTTAAAACTTTTCCCTATGCCAATTTTCATTACTTTTTTTAAAGTAAAATAAATTTACCTACCTATAACTATTGACTTATCGTTTCCTTTTCCTAGATTGGAGGAATAGTGAAACGACAAAGCTACAACCATTGAAAATGTTTTTAAAAATTTGCCGAGAAAAAAGTTGAAAATGGTTTAGGTGGTACCATATACCTACTCAAAACAATATGGGGTAGAGGCTGTAGAAACAAACTAGGTATTAAATTCCTACGAATTATATAGATAGGAGGTACCTAAGTACTTAATTTATTGCTGCACGGCTGTAGAAAAACTGTTGTATCTAACACTTGCGGAAAATGTTTTTTTCTAAACTCGTGCGGCTACTTCACCGAGCTGCATTGGACTCATATGGAAAAATAATTAGGTATTCGCACTTGTTAGGTAAATAGCAATAGCTATTAAAATATCTCAGAAATTAAATATTTTCGAACCGATGTCCATATAAAACGTTTTTTATCATTTTACTACAATATAGGTACAGTCGGAATCATTGCAATTGGCACACACTCTTTAAAATCCCTCGTATTAAGTCAAATTTCTAACCAATCTATTTAGTGCAGCATTTTGCTATTACTGTGTGTCAGATTTGACACATTACGAGGGATTTCTGAAACAGTCTGTATAGTTTGAGAAAGCTTTATTTTATTTTGATATGTAGTTAAAAGCAAAGTTTTTGGGAACAAATCATCATTTATTTCTCACAATCAGTTGCGTTGCAATAGGTAGGTATGCAAATATAGGTACAAGCAAAGGTGTAGAAATCAATTGTTTTTACACGAATTTAATTAGATAAATAGCATAACCGTCATAACCGAGAATATTCCACAGTCTAGAGATGTAATAATTAGTTCCTACAACCCATATGAACTCAGAGAAGTCCACAAAATCGATAATCCTTGGAAGTCTAGAATTTACGATGTTCGCAATATTCTATGAACAGTTGTGCCGAACGGAGTTTTTTCGCGCATATTCTAGACCTATCGCAACACGATATAAATTGTCTGGGAGCGTCTGCCACGATCAGAGTTTCTTTAGAAGCGAAACAGAAAATAGCGACTAATAAGTTCTTGCCTATCAATTTGTGATTTGTATAGCTACGAGAGAGTATACAGTATTGAAAAGAGCAGATACTTGTGAAGAAAAATGTCTCTTATTCCATTTTTGTTGAGTGACCCATTTGACTACCCAGTCACCAGGCCATCCAGAATCCTAGATCAACACTTTGGACTTGGACTCAGCCACGATGACATTTTTCAACCTTTGAACATCAACAACCGTCTGCTTACAAGAACCCCAGCCGGTTATTTGAGAAATTGGCGTTCCGGACTTGCCAACCAAGACACCGGTTCGACAGTGAGTTACGACAAAGACAAGTTCCAAGCGAATTTGGACGTTCAACAATTCAAACCAGAAGAAATTACTGTCAAAATTACTGATGAAAATGTTTTGACCATTGAAGGGAAGCACGAGGAACAACAGGACGAGCATGGATATATTTCCAGGCATTTTGTACGAAGATATGTTTTGCCAAAGAACTGCGATATGGGAAACATTACATCCAAGTTGTCTTCTGACGGAGTTTTGACCATCACTGCTCCAACTATTGAAAAAATGGAGACTGAACATAAGAATATTCCAATTACCCAAACTGGAGAACCGGCCAAAGTGCAGCCACAACAGCAAGCGCAACCTGTTGAACAAAAACAAAAGTAAAGTTTGGTCATACATTTACTTTTTACTTAATTACAATTCCTCTATGTATTTCTTCTTATTTTTATAGGTACTTGTTATATTCTTTAGAATAAGGGTTTACTTTAAAAGTTAATAATTATTAAATTGTAAGAATAATGTAATAAGTTTGTTTTCCGATAAATGGTAATAAATGGATCAATAATAAATAATCTACTTGTTTTACTTTAAAAAATAGATTTTCTTGGCATTAATAAAATAGTGTGAGGTGGTACTACAAATAAAGATGACCGCAAGAATATATTCTCGAAAGAATAATTGATTATAAGAATAGACAATCTATCGGGAATAGGGTAAGTTCGCCGGTTTTCGACCACTTAACAGAAGTTTCAACTTTGAAGCCCAATTTTTATATGTTTTTATTGTTTTGGATATCAAGGAGGGTTACATATTGTTCCTTAAACATTTTAGAATAAAAAATATATCTTTGTGAAATTTTTGAAGTCATACTCTATTTTTTAACTATTAAAAAAGAAAAAATTGTCGATTTTGCCGGTTTTCGACCACAAATTGCCTCAAGACGACCTTTGCCTTCCCAGTTTTCGACCTAACTGGTCGAAAAACAGACCTGTTTGTCGACAGCAGTTTTTTCTTATTTAATGGGATTTAAAAAGCGCAATAAATAACTCAAAATGTGGTTTAAATGATATCTATATTATTTAAAAAAAAAAAAAATCTTCTTCAAAAAACAAGCAGGTAAACTTAAATAAATCACATTATCAGGAACCATTTGTTAGTAGGTAGGTAACAAAAATAAATAAATTAGGTAGATACATTTAACACAGTTATATGTTTTTTCCGAGGCCTCTGCATATGGTATCCCATAAAATTCGGTGCATTTCATGTGAAACCAATTTTCACAATTATCGCAACCAATATTCATTTCATCCTCTTCTTCAGTCTCACTTTCCAATTCTTCCCCACATTCTGCACATTTAATTTTTGCTTTTTTTTAAGGTAACAAAGGCTTTTGCATTAGTTTAGAGGGCTTTTTTCTAGCAGTTGTCTTTGTTTTGAGTTTTTTCTTATTCTCTTTATTTTCTTTGGCTTTTTTTCTTAGTTCTTTTCTCTTCTCGACTTCTTCTGTTTTTTTATTTTTAATTTCTTCCGCCTTTTTATAGTACTCTCTCCATTTAGCCGATGATATTGCACTAGGCATCTTTTGAAGTTTTTTATTGGTACTACTCTTATTTATAGCATGTGGATATCTTAGGTGTTTCCTAAACGTTTCGGATGGTGATATTTCCTGCACTATAGTGGGTTTAAGGATATCATCGGATGTTGAATTTACTTCTTTTTGAGCTGTTTCAACGAGGTTCAAGTCAATTTCATTCATCAATTCATTTCCGTTTTTATCTTTTATATTATTAGCCTTTTTATTCTCATTAGTTGTTTCTTCTTTATCCACATGTTCATCTTCAGAATTCGACATATTGTTGATTATTATCTCTTTATCTAGGTATCTATCAAGATTTTCATTATTAAAGCTAATATCATGTCCCTTAGCTTCATCATTTTCTGCGTTAGTCTTTTCTTTCAATACTCCTGATATATTATTTAGGTCTCCAGTGTCAACGTTTGTATCATGCTCTTCAGTTTTATCATTGTCAGTCTTTTCGTGTGATACTTGAGGTATATCATCTAAGTTCCTATTTTCAAAGTGTGCGTAATTTTCTTCAGGTACTTTATCCCCTAAATCGGTATTTTCGTTTGATACTATGTTTGCATTTTCTAAATTTCCATTCTCAAGGTGTTCGCCATGCTCTTCAAGTTCATTATTTTCAATATCATTAGTCTTTTCGATTGATACTATAATTATATCATCTGTCACTGCCTCTGCAATCGTATTAGTTTCCATCATTTCTACTTGTGATTTCTTATTTTCAGCTTCATTTATATAGTCTTTTGATTTGGCGTCGTTAATACTCATCACAATCTCATCTACTATCTTCTCCTGTGAAGATTTATTCTCAATTATTATATCATTATTATTTTCAGTATTTAGGATAAAACTAGTATCCTCAAACTCCCATTCTATTGTGTCATTATAGTTAATTTTATTTAGTTCGTTAGTTAAGTTGAAGCTGTCTGCGTCCATTAGTTCAATAAAGTCATGCATGCTTTGATTGTTAGCTGTATCAGGAATTTCCGTAATTGCACATTGGTGTATCTGTACGTCTTCCAAAGATACAATATCTCCAATTTGTAAAACTTGGCTTTTCGCATTTTGATTCACTTCCTCTCCTACATTTTCCTTTCCGTTTTCCTGGGAAATGGGCTCGTTTTTCTTGTTGCTTTCAATTTCTTTCCGAATAACTTCAACAATTACTTCAACATCAACATTACGTTCCTCTAGTTTGTCTCTAATTCTTGTAATTACCTTTTCTGCCAAAGTCAGTTCTTCTTCACTTATATGTTCTTTTTTTTCGTGTTCCTTGTGTAAATTTTCTAAGACGTTGTTGATACACTTCGTATAGTCTACTGCATTAGGATCCAGAGGAAATAGTCCGCATTTTCTGAATCCATTAGTTATGCTTTTTTTCATGTCATGTTTCTCGAGAGTTACTTGAAATAAAGGGCAAAATTTTTCTCGGGTAACGGATATGTTTTCATTTCCCGGAATTCTGTGCCACTCTCTAAGGGTCTTTCTCCATTGTGCCTTCATTGGAAAGAAAACACTCACATCCGCAGGTTGGAGTAGGTGTGTTGTGTTTGGAGGCAGCGCATACAAAATAATTCCTAACTGAGCGCATATCTCGCTAACAGCCAATGTAAGATGGGATTTGTGGCCATCAATGAATAAAATAATGGGCCTTTCTATTTGATTTTCTTGAAGCCAGTTAGCAAAATCGTTGGCGATATATTCATAAAATACATCACCTCGCATCCATCCTGTATCTGACTGTCCCAGAACCCAAGATTTAGGCATGCTTTCTACTATAGTTTTTGGTGGTCTTACAAAGGGAAAAACTACCAAAGGCGGGGCAATTTTCCCATCAGCACTGATAAGAATAAGAACTGTTACATTCTGTTTATCATTACCCATATTTATAGTAAAAAGGTTTTTGAAACCTTTAGGACCCAAAACTTTGTTTTTCTTTGGACATAGATTGAATCCGACTTCATCCGCATTAAAAATCCTAGAGGGATCTTTAAACAGATCCTCTATATTATTTTCCCTGGAATATTCAGCCAGTTCACAAAACCAAGATCTAATGTATTCCTCCGTCACAATAGCTCTAGCTTTGCTTACTCCTTCTGCCTCTTTCACTGCAATTTCAGGGTTACGTTTTAAAAAATTGCTATACCATTTTTGACCTGGTCTTCCGTTTTGAAATTTGTCAGCCTTTTTAATATCTTTGGCAATCTTTTGAACAGTGTCAAGTAGATCTTGCTTGTTTACTGGAAACCCGCACTTGGCAATATTAAGTACCCATTCTTTAACTTTATTTTCTACGCCTTCACCAAGTACTGGGGGTGGACCCGTTTTCCTTTTTAGGGTGATATTACTCCGCCCTTTCAGATGATCAATTAGGGTTGTTTTTGGGATGCCATAATGAAGAGAAGCTTTTCTAATACTAATTCTCTCAGCTCTCACTTCCTGCAAGGCCAGTTTTAACGCCTCATGTGAGTAGTTGAAAAATTTCCTTTTCAGTCGTTCCTTTTTCATCCCAGCTCCAGTTACTGTTTTTTTTTTGGGACTGCCATCTGTAAAAAAAAAAAAAATTTAAAGGTAGGTAGGTACCTACATGACTCATAAACGTACTTAAGCGTATACTTAGGTATACGCGTAGGTACATAATTTAAATATATGTAGTTCAAAATTGTCTCTAGATGCCTAGGAACTAGGAGGTTCAAAATGAGGTTTGTTTAGGTATGCATACCTGCCCTTGGTTTCGGTTCGTTCGATTCACCATCGCCAGAATCCCTTTTCTTCCCTGCTCTGAGCTTCTTTTTGGGTGCCATTTTGCTGTCACATCGAACACGTAACAATCCACGATCAAATCTGCAAATTATGGTCTTGAGAATATAATACTAGCTATTGGTGTCGATAAATGGACCTTTCTCTCGACCACGAATATATTGCTGTATTTCGCATGCGGTCGACAAATTGGCCATTCCTCGACCGCCAAAATCTTCCTATATTTCACAGCCCTTACTCTTGTATTTCCACCAAGAAAAAGGCGGTCGAGAACTGGACATTAGACTTATGTATTTTCAAAGCTTCCTTAACATATAAAAAAAGCTACTATTTTCAGTGTTAAGACTACGATGGAATCAAAAGAAAACAAAGATCTTTCAACCAGTTTTCGACCACCTGGTCGAAAACCGAATTTTAGTATTTTTTGGTACCCGGTTTCCCGACCACCCGCTTTTTTAGGAAAAAAATTAAATAAACATAAAAATAATTAATTGAATACGTGTGAATCTATCCTACGTATGAACAATGTAGAGAAAATTGAAAGAAAATGCTAAAATCAGCTACTTACCTGTTCGTTCCCAGGCACTCTTCACTAGGTAAAATCTAGGAAATCTGGCGAATTGACCGTTACGCTGTGCAGACATCGAAATTTCGAATTAAACTGGCTGCAATTGTCACGCGATTTGTCCAATATTTTACGTCAGGGTGGGGGATACTATGATCTATTGAAGGTGAGTGAGAGATAGAGACATATATTGAATGTTTTCCTACTTCCACCAAAAAACTGCTGAAGTGGTCGAAAACTGGAAACGGTCGGCTAACCAGCAAACCAACCCTACCTACCTATCATTTTCTCTAATGTTTTCAAATAAATTGGCATATAGGTACCTACCTAAAAATAAATATGAAAAAAAAAAAAAAACACAGTTGTTAGATTTTCTTGGTATAACCACAGGTATAACCCAGGGTATAACCTCTGTTTATTATTCAGTATAGAAAAACATTCAAATTTTGAGATTAAAGCTATGATTGAAATTTGAAATTTCGATTTTCTGATTTATTGAATTATTGGCGAGACCTATCAATTTTACCAGACAAAGAGGTAATAATACAAAAACTTTATTAGATAGAAAAAGACGCAGAACGCTTATTGCGCAAGACGAGGCAAAACGTACCAAATTATGTTAGACTTACGTGTATAGCAATCCATTCTTATTATTTGCACGGGATAAAAAAGGAAGGAGGAAAACCGCGTGACATGCAACGCATTTATCAATCAAAAACACAAACAATTGAAATTCGATCACTTGTCAAGCTACGTCAAGGTGAACATCAAGCATAATTTTATCCTTGTCAGACCACGGGCAATGAACAAGGACAAGGAGATGCCCAGCGTGCAAAAGGATTACTTCACACCTGTACTAGTTTGCCAATAAAAATGCATTGCCTCGTGTTGCGCGCGCATACAGGTAAAAATAGATAGGTCTATTTGTCAAAAAAATTGAATGTGTCATATGAATTAATCTACGACAACCCTTTTTTTTCAAGTTTCAAGGTCAAGTATAAACCCTGATGGAACGAACCTTAGGTACCTATAGGAAAATAAAAGACCAATTTCAATTTTTAAAAATTCTTAACTTTCATGGACTGGTATATTGTATAGTAGAACTATAATGATAAACAAAAATCATTGCATCCAGTAGTTATGCGTATGCGTATACAGAGGGTGTTTCACGAACATCGGAACATAGGCGTTTTGGAGTATTTCAAGGTCGATTTGAAAAAAACGCTCGGACACGTCAATTTTGTATTCAAGGGGGAAACTTTTTGACCCAATCGGTATTTCGCTAGAGTACACCCCTGGGGTCTCATTCTGTAAGGAACGAACCGTTCGATTCGGTAGAATTTCTTCGATTGTGACGTCATTTTCTGTTTGGCAGCGTGAAAACCAAACCAAAAATGACGACACAATCGAAGAAATTCTACCGAATCGAACGGTTTGTTCTTACAGAATAAAGCCCCTGGGTGGGGCCACTTTCACCCCTCTTTTTTAGATAGGAAAGATGGGTCGAGTAGTACCTTGAAAACCACTCAAACGGAATTCGTCTGCTTAAAAAGCCAAATGGAGAACACAGTACCGACCATATAGAATGTCTAGAGGTAGAGGTACTACTACAAACTCACTTTCCAGGTTCGGTAATCGTTGAAGCCCTGAACCAGGTCACTCCGCCTATCGAAGGGCCACAAAGTCCTAACGGCAGGAGCAAAAGGCTGGCTGGGAAAATCTTCACAATGAACAGAATAAAATGGGCGATCGATAGCTTCAGACCCTACAAATCTCCAGACAAAGACGGGATTTTTCCCGCACAACTGCAAAAAGGCTACGAGTACTTAAAGGTACACCTACAAAAGCTCTTTAAGGCAAGCCTGCTCCTAGGGCACATACCGCTATCTTGGAGGGAAGCTAATGTGATATTCATACCAAAAACGGGTGGCCGACCCGAGGATGAACCAAAATCATATCGTCCCATTAGTCTAACCTCCTTTCTCCTAAAGACAATGGAGAAAGCAATCGACCAGTAAATCAGAAGCGAAACTCTATTGAGAAGACCGCTCTACTCGAACCAATCAGCCAGGCAAATCCACAATAAGTGCTTTACACTGCCTGGTTAAAGACATTGAAAAGACAATCAAGTGCAAAGAGATCGCTCTCACAGCTTTCATCGACATAGAGGGTGCCTTTGACAACACCTCACATTAGTCAATCGCCAGAGCATTACAAGAAGTTCCAATTGTAAAATGGATAGAGTCGATGCTGAAACACCGTCACGTTACGGCTGAAATAAACGGAGCATCAGCTACCGCTACCACGGTTAGAGGGTGTCCTCAATGGGGTGTTCTTTCTCCGCTACTATGTACACTGGTGGTAGACAAAATTCTTACCAGACTGAGTAGTGCTGGATACCAGGTCATAGGTTACGCAGATGACCTAGCCATTGTAATCAAGGGCAAACATGAAGGTATAGTGACAAGCCGAATGCAACGTGCCCTAAACATCGTTAAAAATTGGAGCGAAGGTGAAGGACTATCCCTAAACGCAAACAAAACAATCCTTGTCCCGTTCACAAGAAGAAGGAAGCTAAATTTGAAAGCCCCGACCCTTAACGGTGCACAACTAACATTTTCCAACGAAGTGAAGTACTTAGGGGTCACCCTGGACCGAACCCTCACTTGGAACAAACAGTTAGAGAAAACATGCTCTCGAGCTACATCAGCCATTTGGTCATGCCGAAGACTTCTTGACAAAACATGGGGGCTAAAGCCAAAGATGGTATTCTGGATCTACCAAACCATAATAAAGCCCATGGTCACATACGCCTCATTGGTGTGGTGGCCCAAAACCCAACAAGTCACCGCTCAGATTAAGCTAAGAAAGGTGCAAAGGCTGATATGTCTAGGAATAACGGGAGCAATGTCAACTTGCCCCACCGCAGCCCTAGAGACGCTACTCAACATGCCCCCACTTCACCTATGTGTGAAAAAGGAGGAAATAACCAGCGCTCACAGGCTATTCCAAATAGATAAGTTCAAGCCTGGCGATCTGAGAGGACATCTGAGAATCCTTGATTTATTAAAACTGGAGAATGCCAGCAAACCAAGTGACCACATGATGGTCAGATTGGACTTAGAGATCCCCTTCGCAGTGGTAATAAACGACCGCCAATCATGGGAGAATAAAGAACTACCACAAGCAGACAATGCATCTCTGTGGTACACAGATGGATCCAAGCTAATGGAAGGAGCTGGACTGGGCATTTCCGGCCCTAACTTCAAGCTCTCCAAGGCATTGGGCAAACATCTTACAATATTTCAAGCCGAATTGCTTGCCATAGATAAATGTGCACAAGAGTGTTTTAACCAAAGCCTCAAAAGAAAACACATCTTCATATTATCGGACAGCCAAGCTGCCTTAAAAGCCTTAAGGGTTTTCAAATGCACGTCAAAACTAGCCTGGGAGTGTACACAGACCCTAAAAACACTAGCGACACATAACCAGGTGTCCGACAAATACCATTTTAAAGGCACGTGATACTGGTGGCAAAAAACGTATGTCCCTTGATTATGTCGTTCATATCACCTACAAAATGCTACTGGTGATTAATTACTACTGAATTTTAGGATATGTTCCCACTAGCATTTTACAAACGCGTTTCTGAAGTAGTATTAACCAATCAGAGGGCAATTTTAATACTTGCAATTGTTGCGAGACTCACTTTTGTCGTATCTGCTGTCTGTTGTAATACATTCTCAACTTAAACTGGGTACCCGTTTTCTATTTGCTTCTTTTCGAGTTGGACAAAGGTTAATACAGTCAAAATTATTAGCTGTGTTTGTTCGTTGTATTATTTTCGAAAATAACTTTGACAAACTAATTGATGACAGTGACGGATTTTATTTCAGGTAAGAATATTATGAAGAATAATTAGACAGCAATTTTTTTGTCAATTTTACTATCACCGCTGTTTGAGATGTATTCAACAAGGATAGAGAAAAATCACGTGACTTTAAAATGGTATTTGTTGGACTATAACGGTGATGTGGCTGCCTGGTCATCGAGGGCAATCGAGGCATAGAAGGAAACGAAGAAGCAGATGGCCTTGCAAAGGAAGGGGCCTCAACACCATACCACGGACCAGAGCCCTACTGTGGCTTAATGAAAAGCCACATCATGGAAGAACTCAACAAATGGGAAAAAGACCAACTGTCATCATATTGGAGGCACACACCGGGACTCAGACAGTCAAAAAGGTTTATTACCCTTTCAGCAAAAAGAGCTGAACAGCTCCTAAACATGAGCAGACCAGACATCAGATTGGTGGTGGGACTGCTCACAGGACACTGCCCAGTAAAATACCATTTAAGGGTAATGGGCAGAGCGGAAGACGATCTCTGCAGATTCTGCTCAGAAGCAATAGAAACCGCAGAGCACCTGCTCTGCGAATGCCCAGCCCAATTCTGCAAGAGGCTCAAATTCCTCGAGGGGGCAACACTGTCACCAGGAGAAGTGGGCCAACTGACACCCAGGAAAATAGCTTCCTTCGGCAGAAGTCTACGCTTCCTGGAGACAAATTAAGATGTAGAGTCATGCACAAAATATCTGCAAAGGTAGCAATGCTGAGCGGCTGAAAAGCCGAAACGACTCCCCCGAAATCTACAATCTACAATTTACAGTACCTTGTTTTGAAGGTATTTTGATTCTCGTCACAACTGTGTACTTTTTTTGGAAATCGAATAATTAGTTCTTAAGATATTTCGGGGAGAGAGGGGTGCGTTTGAACACTTTTTATAAAGTATTTTTTATATAATAAGTAATACACTCGATATCAGTGTTCAGAAAAGTAGCCTAAGGTTATAAGCAACTTTTTGTATATAACTAAAAAATTAAATTCTTAAAAATAAAGAAAATAAACCAAACTTATTTTGATCAAATCTACCCCTTGCATATGGAGTACATTTCAACAAAGCATGGGGTACATTTGAACAAGCCTTTTAATATACATTAAATGGAGTAAAATTAATGTTAAAAGGCATTAGAAATTACTCGTACCGTACCACCGTATAATGGGTTTTGATAACAAGAATATATCTTTAATGTCAACATCACTACATTCGGGATTTTCTGGCATTGAAAATTTAAATAAGTCTCGTGAACTGAGTATTTTGTCTTCTTCTGAATCAGACTCTAAACATGTTTCTTCCTTTTTCTTTTTTGGCTTAATTTTTATCTTTATTGCTTGATCTTCCATATTTTCTCCTCTCCAATTAAGACTAGGTTTCTTTTTTTTCTTGTACTAAACGTAATAAAGTTTCTTGTTCGATGTTATTTTTTTCAGGCGTTTCAGTCAAAATTCTTGATTTTCGTTTTCTGGAGTTTTTCTTTAAATTGTCCTTACGCAGACCTGCCTTTGGTAGTGGCCTTGCCACTTCTAGAGTTATATTATTTTTATTGGTCAATAAAACAATCTCCAAATTTTTATTAGAAGAACTGGGTGAGAAGATCTCATTCGAAGCTTTTAAAGTTGGCATTGTAATTGTGGAGAGATTAATCTGTGTGACCAGTGACCACATTTGAAGGAACCCATTCTTCTAAAGTAGGTAGTGATGGGTACTTGAGTACTTTTTTACTAAAATTCCGAGCAATTTGCTGTATCGGTGCGTCCTGATCGAAAATCCTATCTGCATTTGAAGGACCCGCTTGGGGTACTTCTAAAGTAGTGATGGCCTCTTGAGTACTTTTTTCAATCAAACTCTTAGCGATTTGCTGTGTACAGACACAGCGTCCTGATCGAAAGGCCTATCTGTCACAAATGCCGCTTCAAAGTCTTCATCGGAGAAAACATTTCTGGAAATCGGCCACGTACCAGCCAGGGTTGGACGAACTTTCGGAAGTGGGCCGGGAAATTTTAGTCTAGCGGCCCATACATTGATTAATTCATGCGGCACATCACCCCTAGATGTGATCTAATAATAGGTATTTAGGTTCATTTATCACCAACGCATCCAAATTTTCCATTGTAAGTAGATTCCTTGATCGCTTTTTTATGTATTTAAGTGCTGAAAACTGAAAAGCATTTTTCGCACCCTCTTGTATGCACGTTGAAGTGAGGGCATACTGGTAGGCCCCAAAGATGGCTCTTAAGCACGGATATGAAATCGGTATTTACTTATAGAAAACCAAACATTGTTGCAGCCTAAATGTGAAGAACATTTAAAAAGTTCTAATTCATTCCCTGTATCATCTCCATCGTTAAATTCAGAGAGGTCATACAGTTCCGTCCTGTTCAAGTCACATAGTTACCTTATTTTATTCAAAGCAGGGTCTGGCATTAATTCGGAAAAATTATTTGGATCCAAAAATGAAAAGTCAGCACAAATAACTCTATATGCCTCAATGGGAATGCCTGCATCATGTACTATTCCACCTCAAATTTAAAAATAGCAGTAGCTGGAGGAGTATCATCTCTGCTTTCTCCCTTGGCATCTTCTTTTATCTTTTTTTTTTCACAACAGGTTTCCCTTTATTGCCTGACGGGGCCTTCTTCTGAAACCTTCCCCCCGTTCTCAGAGTCAGTTTGCTGAACCGGTAGGCGACTTCAAAATTAGTCCCTTTCCCCCTTGGTCTACAGAAAGGATTAGAAGGGCGGAGGACCCTTCGGCCACTCTGTTGACAACTCTCAAGTCCTCTGTCTTTAGCCCAGTGTTTTGGCCTTTTATTAGGCCAAGGATATTTTTTAAGCACAATAGATCTAAGTAGGTCGCAGTGCGGAGAGGTCCATAACCTAAATGCCCTACCATAACAATCTACAATCTGCAGGCCAAGGATTTTTTTGGTCGGGCTCTAGGCAATGTTGGGGAAGTGACCCAAAGATTTGTGGGCGAGGAATTTTGGATTGCTCTATCGCCCTCAGTGCTGCGCCTTCCCATGGGCTTAGGGCTTCGATTTTGGCGAAAAGCCACTTTGAAGTGGCTTCATCCTCTCAAGTGAGCACTATGGAGCCTGGTTTGAAGGTGGAGGATAGAAATTTGGGTTTTGATACCCATGTTTTTCTTCCAGGATCTTTTCTAGGATGGCAACTTGTACAGCTTTAAGCTGCTGAGTGCTAAGCCGCACAACCGGAAAATTTTTATGCAAAAAGCCAACCTTAATTCCTTGAACCGCTTGTTTGTATGAAACCGCGGCTTTGGAGGTCTCAGGGTTTGGGGCCGTTACGGGTTCCCCTGTGGCATTTTTGGATTTTTTAGCTGCTGCCCCTGGAGTTGAGCCGTCGGATCGGATCCTTTTTTGGCTCCTGTTTCCGGCTGCTCCTTTTGTTCAATTGGCTTTCTCGCCAACTGACGCGCTTCTTCGGCGGTGTGGCCTAGTCGCATTAGCCACTTGTAAGGTTTTCTCGCAGCTCAACTGCCTCAACTGAATTCCTTTCCTTTAGCTTCAAGTTGGCTTCAAGTCATTAACTGACTTTGAAAGCGTCTTGAAGATGGAGTCCTCACTTTCGCTCGAGGAACGTTCGTCATTCACAGGCATAGTGGGGCTTTCTAGTGAGCCCCTCACCTACCATGCCTGCTTTAGACGTGACGGAGACATTGCTGTATCCCGGAGTTTTGAGGGCATTACTGTCCTCTGGTGACTGGAGGATATTTCTATCCTCCTGGGTCGTTTTTATTTTCAGGTGCCATATTTGTTCCCACGAATAATAGGATAATTAAAATACTCCTGCAGCAGAGCCCTATATACTGCAAGGGGCGTATTTAAACCTGGAGATTGCGTGGTCCCTGGAGTTCGCAAACTAGTGGCCAAGCTACCCCTTGGTCATGCAGTCGTCAGTGCTTGCTGTTCCTCTTTGACTTGGGGAGATTATTTATTCTGGCTCTCGTACCACTTAGTCCGCGCGGTTAAGCCAAGACTCCCCGCATGGATGTCTGCGAGACATTACCACGATCAACATCCATGCATGGTATTATCAGTTTGAGGACAATTGAGCATCATTTGCTCCAGTACAGGCCCCTAACCACGACATGATAGTTGGGCTGGTTTTGCCCAGTAACTTTGACAGTAATTTCTTCAGGCTTGAACGTCTGGACATCCAAATTGGCTTGAAATTTGTCTTTATCCAAACTCACGCAGTGGAACCAGAGCTTACCAGAGTGTCTTGACTGTCTTGGTTAGCAAGTTCAGAACGCCAGTTTTTCAAATAACCGGCTGGGGTTCTCGTTACCAAGCGATTATTCAAATTCAAAGGCTGCAAGCTGTCTTCGTGGTCCAATCCAACTCCAAAATGTTCGTCCAAAATTCTGGATGGATGATACACCGATGGTTGATAGTCAAAGTCACCACACACGCTGTGGAATATCAAATAAATGGGGTCTTCTGTATCAACGAAAAACAAATTCTGACCTGCCCCAACGCTGGCAAAATCAATATGTGCGGGCATGCGAATATTGTAGAATTTTCAAGAGGTAGGTCGGGCCTCAAGCCGAGAGAGAAATGAAGGGATTTTCCAGAGTATAGATCCTGAATTTTATCTAGCTAAATTAAAAATCAATTAGATACTTTTTTTTTAAATAATTTATAAGTAATAAATTATAACAACAATGAACAAAAACATGACCTCAAATAGGAATTTCGATTTTCTTCTATCCTTTAAAATTCGCTTTTTTGCTCTAAAGTTCTCTAAAAATATCGTCAAATTTTAACATTTAAGTAATATTGATCGAACTTGAACTAATAAAAACAACTTAGCAGGCTTTATTGAGGAACAGGACACTAAAAAAATCTTCATTTTAGCCTTTCATGGATAAAAAAATTCAAAAAATTTTGTTTAAAAAGCCACAGTCTCTTCAGGAAGCTAGCATTTTGTAGCCTCAAATAAAGTGAAATATTTTACTGAAATTTATATACCTAGTAAAAAACGTACTGGCAATTTTGTGTAGATAGATACCTAGGTATTTTAGATTCCTCAATAATATTCATATTTTTAAATTATTGAAATAAAATACAAGACAAAAATTCTTATTGATTAATTATTTATTGAAAATGAAATTACATATTCTGATATTCTTATCAGTCAAGTGCTTAAGCTAGAAATTATTAAACTAAAATTAATTCTTAAAAAATAATACAAAATTAAATAAGTGATGGGAATAAATATAAAAGATTTTTATTTCTGTTTTTGTTCAACAGCTTGAGCTTGTTGTTGCTGCACCTTGGCCGGTTCTCCAGTTTGGGTAATTGGAATGGTCTTATGCTCAACTTCCATTTTCTCAACAGTTGGAGCAGTGATTGTCAAAACTCCATCAGAAGACAACTTAGACGTAATTTTACCAGCATCGCAGTTCTTTGGCAAAACGTATCTTCGTACAAAATGCCTGGAAATATACCCATGCTCGTCTTCTTGTTCCTCGTGCTTTCCTTCAATTGTCAGAACATTCTCACCGGTAACTTTGACGGTAATTTCTTCTGGTTTAAATTGTTGAACATCCAAATTGGCTTGGAACTTGTCTTTGTCCAGACTCACGGTGGAACCGGCTTCTTGATTAGCAGCTCCGGTACGCCAGTTTCTCAAATACCCAGCTGGGGTTCTTGTAAGCAGACGGTTGTTTAGGTTCAACGGTTGGAAAATATCGTCGTGGTTGAGTCCAAGTCCAAAGTGTTGGTCCAAGATTCTGGATGGACGGCTGACTGGGTAGTCGAACTCGAATAAGAATGGAATAATAGACATTTTCTCGTTTACTTTTTCGTCTTCAAAACACTGGAAACTCTTCAATAGTTATCGATTTATAGGATGGTAGAATCGTAGAATATCGCTAATTTTCTGCTTCGCAGTAAGAGTGCGGCGTCGTATGCGTTTCGCTTCGTAACAAATTCTGATTAACGGACCGGCTCTCGACCCCTTTAAATACGAGAACGAAATATCTGGAATTTGCGCGAAAATGCTCGCCTGCGCTGTGGTATGGCGCCGCCTTCTGCACAACTGTTCATAGAATAATGCGAATCTAGAAAAATCTTTCTAAGCTGGCTTTCTAGAATTTTCAAACTTTTGTCTTTTATTGTAATGCCTATTATTATTTATAGATTAATTATAATTGCAATAAATAGATTCGGATAAAAATATATTATTTTCCACGATTAGGTGTTTATCTAATCCTACATAAGAACCCCATCAGGCCCATCAGGGAGTTAATTTTAAGTTTATAACTTAGAAAAACTTACTTGAAAATCTTGAAATATCGAAGAAGTATGTATTCTAATCATTGATCAACTTACATCTGACAAAGTTGAGTAGATTCTAGTCCATTAGAATTAATTTAATGTTTTCATTCTATGATTAGGAATAGAAAAACGATCAAAACTTTCTGTGTATACCTGAATTGCCAGCCAACCAACTTTAAAAAAATGTGTTGAAAATGTTAAAAAAAAAAACCTTAGTAGAGTTAGTAAAGTTAGCAAAAACTTAGAAAGTACCTTCATATACAAATTCGATTTATCCCAAGAAACGGTAGGTATAACCTATATACTGCTAGTGTTTATTGCTAATTTTTGAAAATGAAGACGTGTATTTAATAGAAATATTTATATCTTCAATACCAGTTAAGTACCTACTTCAAGTACTGCTTGCTTGAAGTTCCTTAATTCTTAATTATTAAGTAGATTGATAAAAAAAATCACCTAAATTATAACAAGAAATAGTTAAACTTCAGACAGGTAGAGGTATACCTAAATATGAAAAAAAACAAAACAGAGAAAAACCCTAGATTCTTTCCATTAGGGGAATACCTATCAATGGAAAATTCTCGTCCTTCTCGAATAACTAACTCGCTTATGAAGGCCTTTATGGATTTTCTTTGTCGGGTATTCCACCCTAATCATTATTTTGGTCGGAGGATGACGGGAAGGGTCTTTTTATAAGGACTATATGATTGCCTGTTTAATATAAGAAATAAAAAAAAAAACTTTTTTTGTAGTAGGTACCTACCTATTTATGCGTTTATTCTATAAATTGGCAATAATAAGACAACCGATTTTCAAATGGATATTCCAAAAACACAAATTCTTGGATAAATTCTAGTAGGTACCAAAATGTAATTTTTTAAAGAAATTAAGATCAAATTATGTATGTAGGTATTACTGGTAGGACGTAGGTATAAGAATTAATTTGTCTCTTTTTATAAAAAAAAGTTTTTATTGGATCTGAATTGTCTTTTGCGTTTTGTACGTGCCCACGCAAATTTTAATTTTTCCTGTATTTCTGGGAACCTTCGTCTGAAGCCCACTCGTTCTCCTGTATCGATCAGAGTTTTCCGAGGGAAATCTCTACCCCAGGTAAAATGCGCCTGCCCTAAGGAAGCAATGTTTGTGGCCCAGAAGTATAACGAACGTGTTAAAATAAAGTCGGTAATTTGCCTTTTTTATTTCCTACATTAAAAATGGCTCTATTGCCCTACGTTTTCGAGGATAATCTTTTTAAACATCACAAGCTCTATCAGTGGGTGGAACCAGATGATTTACACGATTGGCCTATGATTTTACCAAACAGGTATAATACTTAAGTAATTCATTGTTTTAAAATAGGCGGGAAAAGTCTACGTTTAGCAATTTGAAGATTTATATCAAAATCAAAATATATAAAAAAACATATGTAGGTATATAACTTGAAGACTAATACCTACCTTGTTGAATATATTTAGGGAAATTTGTAATATTATGCTTAGGTTGCCGATTGATAGATGGCGCGACAGTCTGAATATCTGTCATGATGTCATTGTGAAGTAATGGCATGTGTTTTGTCTGTAGAATTTTGGCGTTCGTGTCTGCAGCCTAATTATAAAAATAACAACAATAAATTAAACTCTGAACGAATTTTGTCTTTTAATTACCCACATCAAACAGGTTATGGGCCCAGGATTGTTCCTTGGGTAAACTGTGGGTAATTTTTTCATAGCGTAATCGCAAAAAGTTTATTAAAAGTGAACAAGATACAACAACAAAATGGCAGGTGTGAGTAGTCTTTCTGTGCCAATTTTGGAAGCGAATAATTTCAACAACTGGAGATTTCGTATCTTAACTTTGCTAACCAGAGAACAGTGTAATGATGTGATTGAGAATGATCCGCCTGCATCGACCGCAACATTGGAGGAGCAACAGAAATTTAGAAGACTTGATGCTAAAGCAAAGTCCATAATCGTTCAGGGTGTCTCAGATAAACATCTGGATATTGTCAAAGATTGTGCTACTGCAAAAGATCAACTACAAGCTCTAAAGGATATCTTTGTAAGAACAAGTTCATTTACGAAATTATCTTTGTGGAGAAAATTGTTCAGTTTACGATCCGGAATAAATGAAAGTCTAGAGGACCATTTCTTAAAGTTCGACTCGATAATTCGTGACCTCAAAGACCTTGGATCCACAATAGATGAGAGTGATCGTGTGTGCCACTTACTGTTATCATTGCCATCCAAATTTGATACAGTAGTGACAGCCTTGGAAACTGTTAGTGATGTGAAAATGGATTTTGTTAAAGCCAGGTTGCTAGATGAAGAGCTTAAGCTAGGATCTAGAGTTGCCAATGCACATGGAGAGAATAACGAAGTCAGTTTTAAAGCCTTTACCAAAGCATGTTTTGTTTGTGGTAGCAAATTCCATTTCCAAGCAAACTGTCCTAAAAGAAATGAGGGAAATAGTGCATCTCCAAATAATCCAGGAGCAATCTCCGGAAACCAAAATAGAGGATATTTTCGGGGAAATTCTAGACGTCGTGGACGGGGCTTTAGATTTAATCAAGGACAAAACCGACAACAAGCAAATACAGCTGATGGTGATCAACAAGTTGTTCTTTATGCTGCTAATTTATGTGACACAGATGTAAATATTGGATGTACTAGTTTTGTTTTGGACTCGGGAGCTAGTAATCACTTTGTGAAAGAAAATCTCGAACCTTATATGACTAACGTCAAGACATTGAACAATTACATATTTATTCACATAGCAAATGGTGAAATTTTAAAGTCAAACAAACTAGGAAAATTAAGTGCCAAGTGTCAGGGTCAGAGTATTGTGATTGAAGCTCTCATTGTTCCAAATTTAAAACATAACCTCATTTCAGCTTCAAAAATAACCGAAAAAGGACATAAGATAATAGTGACAAAAGAAAACACAAAGATTTGTGGACCTAATTTCTCCCTCAAATGTTATAATAAAGGTGGATTGTATATATTGTATATAGACAATGTGATGAAACAAAATTGTCATGTCACTGTAGATGCTGAAATATGGCATCAGAGGTTAGGACATGCTGGAAAAGAAGCTTTAAGGCAACTGGGATTAGATTTTCCCAAAAAGATTTGTTCAACTTGTATGGAAGGAAAAGCTACTAGGCCAACATTTCAACAAAATGAAAAGCGTGCAACACAAATAGGAGAACTTGTGCACAGTGACCTATGTGGACCAATAACGCCCTGTACAATAACTGGAGAAAAATATTACCAGGTAATCTTGGATGATTTTTCACATTTTCTCATAGTAAAAACTCTTAAAAACAAAAGTGAAGCCGAACAAAATCTAATTAACTACATTTTTGAAATTGAGAGACAATTTAATATTAAAGTTAAAAAATTTCGTTTAGACAATGGTGGTGAATTCACATCACGTGATTTTAAAGATTTTGCCAAAAGTAAGGGCATTCATTTAGAATATTCCATGTCTTATAGTCCGCAAATGAATGGTAGAGCCGAACGAATGAATCGAACCCTTTTGAACATGATCAGAACTAAAATTATTGACTCAGGTGTACCCAAGACACTGTGGGGAGAGGCATTGATGTCTTCAGTGTACGAATTAAACAGAACACCTACCTCAGCCCTCGGTAAAGGAGAAACCCCATCACTAAAATGGCATGGCCGTAATGATATTAGTAAACTGAAAGTTTTTGGTTGTCGAGCATGGTATGTTCAGTTACCAAGAAAAAATAAACTTGAACCAAAGGCGAAAAAGGCTATAATGGTGGGATACTGTGGAGGCGGCTATAGACTATGGATACCCTCAGAAGATAGAGTCATTAAATCCAGGGACGTACGTTTTGATGAACAAATTTTAGAATACAAACAAAATGATGGAATTGGAAATGAGAAAAAAGTTGAATCAAAAGCTCAACCATACGAATCAAATGAAGAATCAAAAGAAGAAGAAACAGATGAAGAAGAATTTCTTGATGCAGAAGATCAAAGAGAAGAAAGAAGAGATGAAATTTATGAAGAGAGCGAAGAAGAAATTGAAGATGACATAGAAGAAGTAATAGGAAATGAAACTGAAACCAGAAGAGGAAGAAGAATTATAAGACCAAAACATCTAGATGAATATGAAATTTATGAAGCTTATTGTCTATTGTCTGAATCATATGAAGAGCCGAAGACCTATAATGAAGCCAAAAAGTGTCCAGAATGGAACGAAGCAATTCAAAAGGAACTAAATTCACACGAACAAATGAATACTTGGACTCCAGCTCAAATGCCTAAAAATCAGACTGCAATAGACACCCGCTGGGTTTTTAAATTAAAAGAAGATGGCACTAAAAAGGCCCGATTAGTGGCTAGAGGCTTTCAAGAACCTTATGAAATAGGCGGTGAATTTAGCTACGCACCAGTTAGCAGGCTTTCAACGATAAGAATTTTTATGTCCATGGCAGTACAAAGAGGCTGGAAGTTGAAGCAAGTAGATGTGCCTACTGCATTTTTAAATGGTCTGTTGGACAAAGAAATATTCATTAAAAGACCTGAAGGACTAAAAAGTAATACAAGTTTTTTCAAACTTAATAGAGCATTATATGGATTGAGAAGCGCTCCAAAGTGCTGGAACGTCAAATTCAATGAAGTTATGTCAAAATTGAAATTTGAAAGATCAAAGCATGACTTTTGCCTCTATAGAAAAAAGAATATATTTTTGGTACTTTTTGTGGATGACGCTCTCATAACTGGAACAGAAAAGGAAATGGATGACTTAATTCAAGATTTGCGTAAAGAATTTAATATAAAAATCAGTAGAGAAGTGTCAATGTTTCTAGGAATGGAAATAACTCACAATAAAGATGGGTTGAAAATTGTACAAACCAGAATGATTCATCGATTGTGCAAAGAATTTGGTTTAGATGAATGTCGACCAGTGACTACACCAATGGAGGTTAATTTTAACCTGGATGAAGATCTTATAAGAACAGACATTCCCTATCGAAGACTGGTATGCAGTATGATGTATATTTCATTAGTATCTAGACCAGATATAGCATTTAGTGTATCATACCTCAGTAGATACTTGGATAAAGCAACAAATCAAGCCTGGAATGCAGCGAAACGAGTACTTCGATACCTTAATTCGACTAATCATCTTGGATTGAATTACACGAAGGGAAATGGAGAACTTGTAGGGATGTCAGATTCCGATTGGGGAGGAGATAGACAGACCAGAAAGAGTGTCAGCGGATTTATATGCTTTCATTCCGGAAACCCTATAGCCTGGTACTCTAAAAAGCAGAATTGTGTGGCTTTGTCAACCATGGAAGCTGAATACATAGCAGCAGCTTCTGCAGCACAAGAGCTTATAAACGTTGAAGGCGTTTTGTCAGAGTTCAATGGCCAGATGGAAGAAAGTGTTAAGCTGAAAGTGGACAATTTGAGTGCGATTTCAATGATGAAGACTTTTGAGAACTCAAAAAGAGGTAAACATATTGAAATACGTTATCACTTTATTAAAGATTTATGTATTAAAGGAAAAATTTTGATTGATTACATTAATACTAGCCAAAATTGTGCAGATTTGTTTACTAAAGCTCTGGCTAGAATTAAATTTGAATCATTTAGAAGTTTCATTATGAAGTGATGATTATATTTATATATACTTATAAGTTTAAGGTACAATATGTTATACGTCGTTATTTTTATGATGTTTAGTTTTTGGAAAATGTATTTTGTTTGATTTCCTGTGTTTGTTTTCAATGAAATGTATTGTTATTGTTTATAAAATTTTTAGATGTTATCCAGTCAGCTGTTGCTGTCAAGTTGGTAAGGTTAGTGTAACAAAACATTCCATTGAGGCGGTGTGTTGAATATATTTAGGGAAATCTGTAATATTATGCTTAGGTTGCCGATTGATAGATGGCGCGACAGTCTGAATATCTGTCATGATGTCATTGTGAAGTAATGGCATGTGTTTTGTCTGTAGAATTTTGGCGGTCGTGTCTGCAGCCTAATTATAAAAATAACAACAATAAATTAAACTCTGAACGAATTTTGTCTTTTAATTACCCACATCAAACATACCTAGCAAACTTAATCTAAATTTATTTAGGCAAACACGAATTTCAATAATAACACTAACTTGACTTATATTACAGTAACTTGACTTATTTTCAATAGGCAAATTTTCACAAAACGATAATTTTCAGATCTCTACGAAACCAATTTGATCCTGGTACCATAATAACAGCTGATGAAGATCATTTCCAGGCCAATGTCGATGTTCAACAATTTCGACCTGAGGAAATATCAGTAAAAATGATTGATGATCATACTGTAAAAGTTGAAGCCAAGCATGAGGAACAACCGGATGGACATGGACTTATTTCCAGGTAACTATACATATTATCTGACTCTGATTAATTATTTTTACACGAAATAATTCAAAGTTTCATTTACTTGTAGGAGCTCCTAAGCCTAATCAGTTATAAGACTTGTGTTTAAAAAAACTATTTTGAAATTATCTATTTCTAGACACTTTGTCAGACGTTATCTCCTACCAAAAGAGTGCGACTCTAGCAAACTACGATCTCAACTTTCCTCTGATGGCATTCTAGTGATTTCAGCTCCAAAAAAGGAAATCGATGGTAAAGAAATTCCTATTTTTCATACAGGACGGCCTATAATCAGGAGACCGCATTTGTGGCCCAGTCGCCGAGGTGATAAAAAGAGGAGACTTAGTGCTTCAACTTGAAGAAAAATAGAAAATCGAGTACATTTATAATTTATGCATACATATCAGCCAAAAAAGATCTCAGATCTGTCCAAATTCTTGCCAATACATAATATACCTATATAAAGTACAAAATATTATGCAGGAAAATATACTCTTCAAATTAGGCGAGGTTTAGAGCTTATTTTTTTAGCTTTTTTTGAATAATTTATATTTACTTAGTGCACAATGTCTATTTTGCTGTGTCCAGAGCAATGAGAAAATATATATTGATGGATAAGTATATAAAACTGTGATTTTTTCTTTCCATCATCATCAAAAGTTTTAAAATTTATAAACATGATGTAGGTGCACTTAAAAAGATTAAGCATTAAGCCCGACCCTCTTCAGCGTCTTCATTTCTGATATTGAGAGTTTCTTTTTTCAGAGAGGCGCGAGAGGAATCAGCATTGATGCGCTGCACGATATACTTATGCTGCTGTTTGCAGACGATCTTGTCCTCTTTGGTGATTCCGAGGTTGACATTCAGAGAAAGCTCGGTATTTTGGGTGAATATGCTGAGGCGAATAAGTTGGAGATTAACTACAACAAATCCAAAATTGTATGCTTCAATCGGTCGGGTGCTAAACCTAATATATCCTTTAAAATAGGAAATAAGGGAAACAACACTATCAATGTGGTCAGTGAATATACCTACCTTGGAATACTGCTCTCTGGCTCTGCTTGCTTTAGAAACATGGCTGAACAGACTGTATTGCGAGCAAAACAAGCGTCGGGAACGATCCTCAACATGACCTCCAGGGTGAGGTTGGGATCGTTCTCGCCAAGTAAAAAGCTATTTCAAACTTCTGTATTGAACTCCTTCACAGGCTGTTTACCGGTTTGGAGCTTGAGATATCCGGATATCGTAGAAAAAATTCAGACGAGCTACTTTAAGTCCTTATTATCTCTCCCGAGAAGTAGCTCAGCACTTGTTAGGCTGGAAGCCGGCGTTACACATTTATTTTTTTTATATTTAAAATCACCTTAAACTTTTTTATCAAGTTACTTTTCATGGGAGATGAAAGATTGCCAAAAGTTTGTCTAAAGCGACTTATTCATCTAGATACCAACGCGCCTTCGCTCAAATATAACTGGATATCCCAGTTCAAAGGCTGGTTCGTGGAAGCTGGACTTCTACACCTATGGACTCTTGATCCCTACATTTTAAAACGTAATCGATCTCAAATTTTGAATCTCTACCAGCAAAATTGCTCCGAGTCTGATATTCGTATAGCAAGAAATGCAACATACACCATTTTTTATAGCACGTTTGACTCTAGCATGCTCACCTATCCTAAGTACCTCGACTTTAAATGCGATTTTTCGGTTGCTAGACTAATTTGCCAAATTCGCACCAGCAACAAGTTTTTTTGCAGACTTAATATAAAAAATATATCCTATCAGTTCAAGCAGGAGGACTTATGTTCTGTATGTAATATGCAAGTAGCGGAAACATTTCACCACTTATTTTTTGTCTGCCCACTATATAAACACTTGCGACCATTAAACTGGAGTGACGAAAACTTTGCTTTAGCTCTGGGTGACTTAACCCTCAACTCTGCTAAACAAATCTATAACACTGTTGCAAATATTTTAAAGCTAAGATCGTTCCTGCGTAACGAATGAGGCAACGATTGTATTAAATTGTGTAACATTTTTGTTTTTTCCTTGTTTTCCTGGTGATTAGTGATGGTGGGTACTTTTGAACTTTATTGCACTATATTTAAAAGTTTAATTTTTTATTTATATTTTTTTATTTTTTTGGTTATTGGGTTTTCTTTTTGTTAATATTATGCACTTTGTTTGTTTTACTAGTATTTAATTTATGCTTTTACGTGAACTCATGTTCATAAGAATGTATTTCTTTTGAGAACATTAAATAAATTGAATTGAATTGAATTGAATTAAAAAGATTAAGCAATTAACAAATAAACAATTAAGGAGAGATAAACAATCTAAACTGTCCAAACTATTCAAATTACACAAGATCATCAACAAACCGCTCTTTGGCTTTACCTGTTATAAAACTCTCCCAAACTATAAAAAGTTCCACCAATTAAAAATTCTTCATGCTTAGTTCGGATCCTTTTATATACATTTATACTTCTAATATCATCATGTAAACTATTAAATATCTTTATTCCTTCGTAAATTACAGATTGTTTTGTCAGACTAGATTTAGGGATGGGTAACGGTAAGGCAAGTTATTATGTTGGTAACTTCGCAAATTATGAGTTAAAACCTTGGAATTTTTTATGCATGAGGCAAGCTATTTCCATTATAAAAATTGATGAAACCGTCAAAATTTCTTCCCGAAGAAAGAGTGGTCCACAGGTTTGCTGACAACTAACTCCGCACAAAGTTCTAACGCCTGTTTTTTGTTGAATAAACACTGATTGAACAGAGGCTTTTGGTGGTTGAGAATCCCCAGAAGGGTATTCCATATCTGATTATCTGATATAAGATTCCATCAAAGCATACTAAGCTACTTAACCTGTATCTTTGCCCAACTCATGTAATATATTTTTTACCAAATATCAGCCTTGTGATAATTTCTTATCAAGTAAATCATTGTGGGTTTCATGTGAAGACCAAAGAATTTAACAGTCGACTTTTCTTCCAGAGATTTATCACTTAGGGTAATAGTATCTAGTGAGCATTTAAATGATAGAATATTTGTTTTTGAAACATTAAATACAAGAGAGTTTGCATCACACCATTCCTTTAATTAAACTAGATCTTTTTCTATGATATTAGACAAAACTGCTGCATCCTTGTGCTTCCATAAAATAGTCGTATCGTCAGCGAAAATTACGAAGGCACCAAGTATTGATAAAGGAGCAAGATCATTAATGTAGAGCAGGAAGAGAACCGGGCCGAGTACAGACCCCTGTGGCACACCGCGAGATAGATTTAGAGTTTCTGAGTCCTTCCTGTTTGGTATTCATACAAATTGTTTTCTCCCAGACAAATACGATCCAAACCATGCGAGCTCCCGCCCTCGGATACCATAATGGCTTAGTTTCCGCAGTAGTATTGTTAATAAAGTTTTAAGAGGCGGTTCAAAAGTGTCAAATGCCACAAAAACTGAATTCTTCTAATCTTATTTATTTATTAATTCACAAAAACAAGAAGATAAAAATAAAATCACAAAATAAAATGTATATTCAAATACACAACTAGATATTGATTCTATACTTATGAACAAATACATAAAATATCTAATGATCTTCAAGATTGCATTTGAACTATCCTAGTTTTAGTTTGTTTTTTACAAAAATAAATTAAATACTAAATATGGAATGAATCTAAATACTTACACTGGGAGGGATTTCAGCATTTAGGTATCTCAACATCAGACAAAATATTCTATTTCCTACGCTACCTTCTGCTCAGAGAACCAAAAATAAATAAAGAATAACAATGAAAAAATTAAAAATGTAAGGTAAACACTATAAAACAGACTTTTAGAAAGCACCAGAGTTCAATAATAATTATTGTATTCTGTATAAAGTTGCCTTATTTAGCTGCAAATTTTATAGTCAGTATAGACGTGGAATGCCAATAAATTAAAATGCATAAGTATATAATATCGTTAAACAATATTAAACCAATAAAAAAAATATTTAAATTTTAATTTTACATAGGTGAAGTACTTCCAGGATTAAAACAATTCCATAATGTTCATCTATTCAGATGGTATAAATACATAACATATACATAAATATAAATCAAAGGAATTGCATAATCCTAGCCTAAATCTAAAATATTGCTAAAGTTTCATAAATGAAAACTTATACAGACTTACAGTTTTCACATTCTAAATACAATTTCCTTTATGTTTGTAACATTGTAACAATAACGAATTTTTAATTTCACATTTATAGAATATAGTATATTTGAAAATTATGGGCAAGTGGGCACTAGGCATTTTAAATATCAAATAGCAACCTATTTAGGTATACAACAAGTAGAAAAAGTTATACTTTCTCGTACAAGGTGAACAAATAAAGAGAAGTGAAGTTGATTCAGCAGTCAACAAAAACGTTTCTTATTGGCGTTAGAAGTATATAAAGTTAGCCAACAAGAAACGTCCAATTTTGTTTTACAATGGGCTCTTTCACTAAAATTTAAATACGTAATTTAGGTATAAAATACCAAAGGAGGAACTATTTCAGGCATATATACCAAAAAAAAATGTTGTACAAGGTTAAATAAGTTTTTTACAGGCATTTGAAAATGGCGAAATTCAAAATGATTTAAAACGCGCCGATTTGCTGACGTCCCATAAATATTTTTCATTTCGCTCGTTGTTGCAACGAGCTGACCGCCAGGGCTGTGACCCTGTAGTAAAAGCAGGTAAAGGTCCGAATGCGCTGTTGTCGGTGGTGACTAAATGTAGTGCAACGTAAAAAAAAAAAAAAAATTAAACATAAAAAATTGTATTAAATTGTGTTTAAGCATAATTTCAATAAAAAAGTTATAAAATCTTGAATCCACAACTAATTAATTTAACTACTTTTCATAACATTTTGCCAACATTTCAGAATCAAATCTATTACAAATTTTCAATGTTGACAATTGACGTTTTCAATTAAAAGAGATGGACAATAAGTATGAAAACATTCGTTTTCCCGCCAAAATTTGCTTGCTTGTCAATGTCAATGTGTATTGGGATGTTTTGTGTTAGCAATCCCCTCATTTTTATATGAACCAATGAGTTAGCTATCTTTGTTAAGTGAATGGAAAATGACAATGACCGACATAGAATGATGGATCCATCGGTGAAATTTGATAATAAAAATGCAGGGTTTGAAAATGGGAAGAAAATGTAGGAAAAGTCACTGCTTCATTCGCAGAACTTCGCTATGGAGCCGGTGGTGGATTATTTTGGAAGCAAACAGTTTCTGTAAACTAAATTTGAACGTGGATTACTTTGTATACTTGATGGGCCGTGGATTTCCCTTTCTTTTGCGAGTATCCTTTCTGCATACTGATTTTGTGTATCCAAGTTTTGACAAATGTAGGATTTGATGGAAACTTATGGAAAAACACGTCCGCCGGTGAATAGGAATAAATAAGAACTAGTTTTATGGATAGGCACACTACACACAATCACCATTGTTAAGAAAAAACCTTGAAAAACCCGAGGAAATAATAGTTTCTCTCAAAAGTCTTGTCTACAAACCACTGTCAACGGCTGTCAACCATTGTTTTCATACTCTTTTGGCGTCTGACAGTTTGATGCCAGAAAGAGAGGCTTTTAAATTGAAAAGGTCAATTACTGACAACACGGTCAAATTGCTAGCTGCAACATCATAGAAATAAGTTCTGGGTTTTTATTGGGAAGTAATTCTTTTTTTTCTGTTCTTTCAAGGACTATGAATTATTCAAAAGTAAAAATACTGAAAATTCTGTTTTTAGTTGCTTTATCCAAATATTTCAATTTCAAAAATTAGTGAAAGAGCCCATTGCCCTTTGGTTTAAATTCCCGACTTGAACACTTAAGTAATAATCTTTGTATAGAGATTTACCTACAACCAACTTGAAAACTATTTCTTTTTCTTATAACGAGAAATTTGAAAATACACATTCCGTGTCTCACACATGTCTTCCTCTTTAATTTTAATAATACTCAAATGTTATAATAAAATGAAATGATAATAATAGAGAGCTGAGGAGGAAGTGCGCAATTATCATTTAAAATGCCTAAATTCACCCTGAAGAACAATCATTGGGGTCACAGCAAAATTGAAGACTTAAAGGTGGTAGACAATATTTGATAAAATTATTTGCAATAAAAGTTTATAAACTTTTCAGAGGCTTCTTATATGTTTCGACCTTTTTACCAGCAAGCAGCTCGACGATAATCCGCTTGAAAGTTTGGAAAGTTGAGTGATGTTTATTGATCGTCTTGGATAATCTATTTTTTCTCCAAAAATCTAAAAAAAAAATATATATTTATTTATAAGTGGCGATACAAGTAAATGTTTACACACGTCAAACAAAAGTAATAATAAAACATTGTGTAGAAATAACTAACAAGAACAATGAATAGCATGAATAGTAAATAGCATTAATTAGGACATGTCACTTCTAAATTAAATATTCCCTAATCCTAGTTTTTAACTGCCTTGGTGGTAGGTTCCTTACTGCATTGGGAAGTTTGTTGAAAAATTTAATGGCCCAGGTACCTAGGGCCATCCTGACACCTCTTTAGTCTACAATACCCCGACACTAATAGGTCATTTTGATGTCGAGTATCATATGAATGGACACTACAGTTTGTTACATACTGGTACTCATTTTTCTTGAGATAAATTAAGCACTCCAGGATATAGTAGACGGATGGCAATGTCATTATACGAAGCTGATGGAAAGCAATCCTGCAGTCATCCCTGTAACCCAAACCCTGCATTATTTATTAAGCCTTTCTTTGCAGACCAAAGACTCTCTTAGATTGGGCTGCATACCCCATGCAAGAATAGAATAAGTCATTGTGGAATGAAACAGGCTAAAGTAGGCTGTTCTTAGAGTATTTAGGGATACAGAATTCGAGAGGCTGTGAAGCATAATATATGCATATTTTGCTACCCCAGCTGTTACATTATCAATTTTGGCATCCCAAACCAGACCCGGATCAAGCTGGACACCCATGAACCTTACCTGCTAAACGTTATTGGCATCAACCACGTCTCTCAGGGAAAACACAAATCTTTCCGTCTTATTCTGATTTAAAAGTAGCATATTTGATGCAAACCAGGTCTCGACCCTTCTCTCCACCACAGCAGACTCCCTGACGGCTTCCTCATCAAGTGTAGATGCCCTGAGGGATATTGTTGTGTCATCGGCAACGAGTGCAAACTTAGCATTTGGAGCCATTAAAGGTAAATCGTTAATATATAGGGTGTTTGGTACATCGATAGGGAGTTTTCAATGAGTGATGGTTGGGGTCATTTGGAAGCTGTTTGACCATATTTACTCTTACTCTTATGCAAAGTTTTGTCGTCATTGAGATATCAGCATTTTTAGATATTTTTGGGAAATATTTGATTTGATTCTGTGCTAAAACATACTGTTTTTTTGGTAGTAACAACAAACAAGGAAAAACGAATGATTGATACAAAAAATATGTGACCAAGTTATGTCTTAAAATATATGGATTCAAAATATCTAAAAGTGACAATATCTCAAAAAACGACGACACTTTGCATGAAGGTAAATATGGTCAAGCAGCTTCCAAATGACCCCACCTATCACTCATTGAAAACTTCCTATCGATGAAACAAACACCCTGTATATTAGGAACAAAATTGGACCCAAAAAAGACCCCTGTAGGAACCCAAGAGTTATGTCACTCCTGGTCGATTCCACTCCTCCAACCCTCACTGCCTAGGTTCTATCAGACAGACATGAACTCGATAAAGTTAGTCTTATCATGATAAATAGAGTATGCTGAAGCTTCCACAGGAGAATGTCATGGGAGACGCAGACCAAGGCCTTACTTAGGTCACAAAAAAAAGATGCAGTGTACTCCATCTCATCAAATAACTGCAATACATAGAAAACCAGGTCAACTATGCTCAGAGTGGTATTTCTGTCCTTCCTGAAACCAAACTGACAATCTGTGAAGAGGTTACCATGTTGAAAAAAGTCTGTAATTTGTTTAGCCATTCACTTTTCATTTTTTTTTTTTGACAAAGCAGGCAATATAGAAATGGGCCTGTAATTTTCAGGTAGATGTTGATTTCCTTTTTTGTTTATAGATATAATTAATGCATGTTTGAGAACTTTAGGAAAAATACTCTCACGAAAGCCACTGGTTCATCAGCTTGGTTAAAGGAATAACAGTTACATTTATGACAGACTTCAGCAGTCTGGTGCTCAAACCGTACACATCAGTCATCAGTAGTATTTTTATTTTTGAGGATGAAAAATATTTCCCTAACTTCATTGAAAGTGACCTCCCGAAAAGAAAATGGTTGCTCAGTCAAGGAACCAAGGCTGCCCCAGGATCTACGTGGGTGTTTGGTATATCCTCAATTAGATGGTGTGCCATGTTGGCAAAGTTGGCATTAAATTTATTGGGAGATATTTCAAATTGTTCATTATGTTTTGGAGATATATTCCTATGCCTATTGATTGAAGACCACATGTACCTAGTTGGATTAGCAGAGAAATTAATAAGATGGTCATTTGGATTTTTCTTAGCCTCTCGAATTGCATTTCTATACAAAGTTCTATACCCTTTAAATGCATATGACAATACCGGATGATCACACTACTTGCTCAGACTGCGAAGTAATTTAAGATGCTCACGCATAGCCCTCAAGTCAAGTTATTATTAAACCAGCTGATGTTCCTATTCTGGTCCTATCTTACCAAGTAAGTTTTCTCAGGGAACGACATCAGGTAGGCCCTCTCGAAAACATTCATGACCATAGTCACTTTCTCTCAGCATTCATCTCACAAGAGCTCACAAAATCCCATGCCTCTGCAGTCACTCATTCCTGATATTGTAATTGGTCTACATACCTTTCCTCCCAGTTCAAAAAAGTTAATAAGCAAAATACTAATTTCTAACAAGAAAATCTTACCTTGAATGATAATGGTGTTTCCTCAGGTGTCCGATGCACAAGCGTGCCATTCAAATACAGAACATTGGCAGCCTCATCTTCTGGCAAAGTGAGTGTCTGATAACTGAAAGTAGCTTCTCTTTCCATTCGTTTCAGGACTTCTTGGGACTCTTTACCGACTCCTACACAGAGGAGATCTGGACCACCCATTGTTATGTAGGATTTTAGGTGTTTTGGTTCAGGAACCTATACAAAAAAAAATTTGTCTAAGAGCTATCAATTGAACCCTACGCTGGAACAACGTTTCAAACGCCAAATATACCAAACAAGCGCGAAACTAGGGCGAGGTTGCACTTCAAACGTTGTTCCACAAGAAAGACATACTGAGCCTTTTGAAATGGCATCAACAACTCATCAAAAAAAAAAAATATCCTATGACCCCACTATTAAGTTGGCGAATTATCTAGGGTACATACAACATAGTTCCATGGATATACCGTTTTTACACATTGTAGTTTACAACGTTGTTCCAGCATAGGGTTCAATTAATGACTACTAACTACAATAATGTAAATGCCATAGGGAGGCGTTTTTAAAAAACAGTTGAGAAGAAACAAAGATTTTTTTCCATCCCTCATAAATAGTATCATTATTGCTGCCATCGAGTCCCATAGTCGGTGGCGTTAGCGTAAACATATTTTAGTGCTGGATACCAGCACCAAATTTGGCTCAAAGCTTGTACACTTATTAAGATTTGAAAAACCACCTGGAGACACATTATTGCATTTTAACATACATGATATTGAACTGGGTATGTCTGATTACATCAATTATCATACAGACCAGTCACCCTCCACAAGCAACTTTGTCAGACTGGGAGGAGTACTAATTGCAGTGAAGAAGAATATAACATCAACAATTATGGATTCAGTATGCGATAATCGAGGCGACAACATTGAAAGTGTCTGTGTACAAGTGGTATTGGGAAAGGAAAAAACCCTCTTTGGTTGTGTGCCTCCAAGATCCCCATTACACTTGTATACACAGAGTCTACTTGTGTGGAAACTAGGTATATAATCTTCCCGACGTTCTATGAGAAAATGATGAATATGGATCAAGACCGATTGGCGACGTAAGTGATAAAGTTGAATGCATTGCTAATTTTTCCGCATGTCAGTCCCATTAGGCCTCTGGAATTCGATTATATTCATATTACGGTTTTAAAAATTCTAATTAGATTTCTATTAATGACTGCGGTAATTTTGATCGGAATCAAATTTTTGCGAGTGATGAAATTGACTTGACTGTTGAGTTATTCAATAACAAACTGAATATATAATATACTGTATAAACGCTTTTGTTCCATTTCATGGATGTAAAAATAATTTTTTCCTCTAAATTCTTACATTAAATCCGTTGCATTGGAAATTTCAATGAAGGTTATCTCGGAAACGGTTACCTCTAGAGACTTGAACAAAGTACACCTTTTTTACGTAAAAAACGTTGGAGAATCGATTTTTCTAACATTCAAATCGTTGCAGCAAACTGGAAAAAAGTTTTGATAATTTAAAAAAGTTCAATGTGCCGTAGATAGCGCCCCCTAGTAGTGATATCAAAACCGTGAATGAATTTGTATTTCTCGTCCTAACAAACCCCCCGATACGTAATTTCGCATCGCTGTGTTGGTTTATTGAGGAATAGTTGACAAAAATCGAAAATAAAAGGAAAACTTTGACACCCTGTATCTTGAAAACTAAGCACTTTAAGGTTGCATATTCCTATCTCACTTTTCATGAAAATGCGAGGTCTGTCACCTGTCAAACGTTGTCGGTCGAATATCCGGTCACCCTGTATACAGGGTGTCCCACTAAGGTCGGCCAGGTACGATATTATGGAGAACATGGACCTTACGTAACTTGAAAACGAATGCAAATATTGAATTGCGGTTTGCGCCAAAATGTAGATATTTTTTTGCTCTTTAAGCACAGCAATACAAAAATAATATTATGCCATTTGGATATTTCATGAAAATTAGAAAACACTGGATCTTGAATAAACAGCGCCCTCTAGAAGACGCGGTGGGAACTATCGACCTCGAACGAAGTGGTGTTCTTAATAACAATGAAATTTTCTTCCAAATAAACCCAAATTGAATGAGTTTGAATGAGGGGTATGGAAGATACAGCAATTTCTAAAAAAAAAATTTCACCAGCTTCCCCCACCCTTATTACTGAAGATACGAAGAAAAGCCTAATAACGAAACTGGCGCAAAAATTAATGAACTTTTGATTTCTGTTTTTAAAACAGTATCTTAATATAGCGATTTCTTGAGAAAAGTTGAATTTTTAACTATAGCTATTTCAATGTTTTATGATAGATGTCCATTAAATTCTATATAATAATATTTAAAAGTAACAAGAGGTTGGGAACAAGATGGCGGCGGGACCTCTATTGTCGCCACTGTATGTAAAGGTTTATTTAGCCACTGTAACTATAGCATCGTAATTGCGCCCCCTAGCGGTCATTCTAAAAACTTGGAAATAATTTCCATCAATTTCTCTTGGCCGATTTAGTGAAGAAAAAAAAATCCCGAAGCCGTAAGGTCTATGGTTTCCATAATATCGTACCTGGCCGACCTCAGTGGGACACCTAGGTATAGTATCTGCACTTTGTTATTGACGTTCCGCTCTTATTCAATAGACGAATGAAAAGCAAGAGTTTCAACAGCAAAAAAGACAGCATTAGTGACAGTTTAGTTGACATAGATGGATACAATACATGCCGTGAATACCAACAAAATCAAAAAGGGGGTGTTGTATGTATTCTAGCAAAAAATAAAATTAATGGGTGTAAAATAAATTGCAGCACCCCTGCAGCAATATGGCTTGATATCCAGATATGTGAAATTAATATGTCTCTTGCTTGCATTTATAGGCCAGGAAGAACTACCAACGAAGAGGCCAACACTCACATGATAGATACCTACCTACCATAAAAAAAGCATACACCTTTAAAAATCCAACTTATTATTGTAGGAGACTCCAACTACCCAAACATCAACTGGGAAAACCTCCCAATTGCAATACCAGACAAAAAACACAGGATTTTATGAACATGTATCAAGAAATAGGCGCTCAGCAATTAATTGATTTCCCAACATCAAGATACAGAAACGACCAAAGTTCTCTTTTGGATCTCTTCCTAACCAATGATCCCAAAAGCATTTTTGATCTTTGCTCAGAAGCGCCCATTGGACGCAGTGACCATGTTGTAATAAAGGCAAAAACATAACTAAAAATTCAACTCAAACAAACACAAAAAATTATAAGAAAGAATTCCTACACTGCAAATTATGAAGAAATCAACCACTTTATCCGACTACAACCAGTAAATAATGAGAAACCCTCGGAGAAAAATTTCTTTGAAAACTTTCAAAACATACTGGATGGTGCGATTGAAAAGTACATTCCTGACAAACCCGTGAAAACAAATCCACAAAAACCATGGATAAATGAAAATATTTTTTAAAGAAATAAGCAAGAAACGTAAACTATGGAATAAATATAAAATAATGAAAGTGGATAACTATCAAGCCTATATGGGCCAAAATAATATCACCAAACAAAAGTTAGTTGAGGCCAGGAAAAAATATGACAATGGTCTTGTGAAATCGTCTTCGCAAAAAAAGCTATTCAAATATGTAAATCGCAACTTAAAATCAAAAGTCTCAACCATAACTTTGAAAGATCCAACATCCTAACAGTTTCTGGATAACAAATCCATGGCAGAAAAATTTGCAGATCAGTTTGATACAGCCTTTACAAAAGAAACATACCCATTTCCACCATTGCCTGACTATAGCAGGGTACAAAACTCAATTGAAAATAATGAAAATATTAATTTTACAACGGAAAAAATTGAAGAAGCTCTCAAAAATATGAAAAGAGTCTCAAGCCCAAGGCCCGATAGGATTCCCACTATTTTCCTTCAGAATTGTGCCAATTCGGTCAGTCCTTTACTTTCAGGGGTGATGCAAGAATGTTTAGAACAAGGAAAGATACCAAAAGCATGGAAATATTCAATTGTGACACCATTGTTCAAGAAGGGAGATCGGCACAAACCAGAGAACTACAGGCCTATCAGTCTCACATGTAGCCCCCTGAAATGCATGGAAAAAATAATAGTTAAGGAGCTGATATCGTTCTTTCTAGAGAATAATTTAATACCCTCCTTTCAATACGGATTTTTGCCGAGACGTTCAACGGCGACAAACCTTTTGGAATGCTTAAATGATTGGACACAGAATCACGACGATGGTCGGACGGCAAACGTAATCTAACTTGACTATGAAAAAGCATTTGATAAAGTCCCACACAAGCTTTTAATAGCCAAACTGGAGCACTTTGGAGTCAGAGGAAAGCTGCTCAATCTGATTAAGGCACTATTAAATGACCGACTTTATCAAGTCATAGTTAATCGGGAGCTTTCCAGTCCACATAAAGTGAGTAGTATGGCGTTGTTCAGGGTTCGGTTGTTGGCCCAGTGCTTTTCACAGCATACCTTTTTGATCCGACTGAATGTGCAAAAATGGCCACTAAGCTGTTTGCAGATGATTGCAAAATATATGCAAATCCTCTAACCAGCGCAGAGTTACTCCAGGCTGATCTGGAGAATATTGTAATAATATGGTCAAAACAATGGGGCATGAAACTAAACACCTCCAAATGCACAGTGCTTGAGATCGGCCCGAATAATCCTAATTATGAATACCTATCATCTCGACGAAAGTGCGAAATCAGTAAATGAGCAAAACGGTCTAGGAGTTCTAATAATAACAACAGACTTAAAGTGGGAAAGCCACATAAACATAACCAAAATTTGTAAAAAAGCAAATTCATTTCTTTATTTGATAAATCAGGCTTTCAAAGATAACACCATTGAAATGATATCCAAGCTCTACAAAAGTTACATAAGACCAAAAATTGAATATGCTTTTACAGTATGGAACCCATATTATATCAAAGATATAGAACTTCTGGAGAAAATACAACGTAGAGTAACAAAAATCCCTAGCGAATTAAAGGATGTACCATATCCAGGAAGACTAACCAAGTTTAATTTAACCACACTCAGAGAATGAAAGCATAGAGGTGATTTAATCGAGACTTACAAGATCACTGGCGGCTATTACCAGTGTCATGTGACAGATATTTTACTAGATGAGTCATAACAATCACCTCCGAGGACACACTGAAACTTGAAAAAGAAAGGTCGGCAAAACTTCCAAGAAAAAACTTTATTGTTTGTGAACCGTGTGGTGCACTCTTGGAACTCGTTGCATCAGGAAACTGTTTCAGCCCTGAACACGAATAGCTTCAAAAATCGCATTGATGTAGAACTGAAACAGAATTCAGAAAGGATGATCCACAACAGTGTGTAAACAAATTCAGTATAACCTGAAAATCTAAAGAAGAAACAATAGCTTCATCGGTTTTATCGCCTGCTATTGTCAACATTATAATAATATTAATAATAATATGTTGATCCACAGTCAAGTCGAACCTTCTGACAGCATTGTCGAATCCTATATTCGATTCGGACTAGACTTTGTGAAGGTAGACAGGGTAGATATCTTGTTCGATCAGTACCTATGTACCTGGGCAGTTTAAAAACAGGTACAAGAGAAGCAAGAATATCTGGAACAAAGGTAAACGTAAAACCTAATGTAGTTATACCCAAAAATTTCAATAGACAGGCAGAAAACTTGGTAAAGATGGATGTAGCCATTGGAAAACAAATAGTTTGCACATATAAGAACCAAGTGAATAACCCTTTTCACGTGGCTCCGATTTAACAAACCGCAACATACCGCTCAAATTCGAGTGGTAGGTATCCATCATGTCACTTTGTAACCGGGTTAGAAAACGGTATGTCATTTCTCTAACCGTTTTGTAACCCGGTTAGTTAAACCGGAGCCACGTGAAAAGAACTATTGGGTCTAATAATAAGAAAGTCTACGACCATATACATATCTCCAACTTTTCGTGAAGAAGCGGATGCTCGTCTTTTACTTCACGTGTGATATGCTAGCACCTTTGAAGGACATACCAAAATTAATATTAAAACAGTGGACCGCGATGTACGCCTTTTCTATGTTAGATGAAGTAGAGGAATTGTGGATTGAATATGGAACAGGAGATATCTTCCAATTCATCAAATGCATCAAAAGTGAAAAGCTTTCACCCGGTCTATCGAACCTGGTTCCTTTCTTACATTTTTTTACTGGTGCAGACACTGTTACAAGTTTTGGTGGTATTTATATCACAGGATGAGCATGATTGTTTTGTTTTGCTTATTATGTATCATTCATCAAGCTCAGCAGAAACTGTCAACGAAGCAAGGAGAATCTTATTTTGCTAATTCAACAGGTCAATGGTGAACATTCCGCCTACGTGTGATCATCTTGAGAGGAGGATACTCCAGTGTTTTGTATGGGGAAAATGCTTCAACGTGACGCAGAACAGAAAAGGTAGATCCAAACGGGGTGATGAAAGAAAGTTGGCGATAATTATGAGCCCCTTTGGTCAACAAATCATTGCATTAGTTGTAGTTCATACAGGTTATCAGAAGTGCACGGATTTGCAGGTGTCTGGGTGAGGGTTGAAAAAAAATGCAAAAATGTGTCTCAATACGTTAATACCCAATTTTCGTATGGAGATATTTCTCTATAACCTCGATTGCTTATGGCAATACTGTATTTTCAATAAATTACTGGAATTTAAAGGGTTGTGAGAAAACTACCCTCCGTAAACAAAAATTGAATCATCCCCTTGTTAAAGAGCATTACCTGCGCTTTAAAATGAAATATTAAACCGTAAAATTGGTTATAAACTAACAAAGATACGTGCGATAGTATAATTTGCTACTCTGACTTAAATCCGCCATTTTCATGACGTCATCAAGGGATGATCTTGAACACCAGGAAAGTTTCTCCAAGTGGTTTTGTAATCCTTAGTAATATGTGTACAAGCTGTGTGCCAAATTTGGTGCTGGTATATAGCACTGAAATATTTTGGTGCCTAAGGACCAAATTATGGACTGACCGGTTACGTTATTGGCAACTGTATCCTGCTGGTAAAGGTAAAAATTGTATTCAATTTTAAGTTTCACCAGCAGGGTAAATTTGCCAGAGACGTTACCAGCAGGCCCATAATTTGGCTCTAATGTGGCTAATACCACCGACTACCAGGCTTTGATTTAAATTATTTCATATTTTATTCCATTAAACTAAAAATTTAGTTATTACATTTGAAAAATGTATAGGTACCTAATACTTTTCTATAAGTAGGTACAAGTTTGAATTTCTGATAGCAATCAATAGGTGTCAAAAATATCAAATTTTTTTGAATTAGAAACAATTAAAAGGTGATTATATCAATTGCTTATCTTTGCTAATGCTAATAGATATGCCCGCCAAAATATATCAGTCTTGGGGTAATTAGGTAAAATTCGAAAAGAAAGCAGTGTCGTAGCGTGAAATTCTTGGCAAAAAATAAAACCAAGGTGCACGCTTACCTCCACTTTACCCCTAAAACTGTCACATAAGTTCGTCACAATGAAATGTTCAGGTTTTACCTTTATGGGGGTGCAAGGGTACTCCGGAAAGGCTGCTGCCACTGCTCGAGCTCCTGATTCGTTTGTCCAGTGAGAGATCCCGACAAAAAATTCCCTACCTATTCAAAAATTAAATTAGCATTAGCATGCTTTTCGCATGTTTTAGTTAGTAATGTTTTTTTTTACCTTACCCGTAAATAGCACATCGCCTCCGTCTAATCTAGCATTTTTATCAGACATTTCTATTATTGGTATATCTAGTTCCTTTTTTAGCACTACCCGTATTGTTTCGACCTGAAATAGAAAACAATAGTTGGATGTTTTATGCAAATACAGAAAAGGGGTTTTTGTTAAATGTATTTTTAGAAAAGTTTGGAACAGTTTTCCTCTATAGACTGAGCGACTATGAGAAAATTCGAGGAAGTTTAATTGAGTTTGCTAGCAATATTGTTGTTTCTGGCTTCTCTTCAGTTCAGTTTATTATCCAAATATTAGGCTTTTCTATGGTAATGTCGCAACTTTTTAGGCCATGAAAAGTACATCCTCTCTGGGACCCACTTTGCTCTACATCCACTCAAGCATTATGTTTATTCAAATTTTGCGAGTTCATTAACCCACCACTTAGCACTAAAATGTATTTGTATTCTATTACATAAACACACTAAAAGATAATCCAGATGGAGCTCATTTATTTTCCGTCATGAATTACTTTTCCGTGAAGGATTCCTTTAATTGCCACTGTAGGTGGATAAAGTAATTCTAGAAAGTTCTTGAATTATTGAAACAAAAATTCTTCAATAAATATTATTGTGCATGTGGTTCAATAATCATTGGGAGCCACTTGATGTAGATGAAATTATTAATGATAAAATGGTCTTTATAGACTCATAATCTACTAATCAATTGATTTTTCAAATCAAATCAAATAAGCTTTATTGCCAAAAAAACAAATAATGTCATAGACAAAGCAGGCCTTAAACCTAATAAAACAATTAAAATTATCTATTATCTATCTATCATAAAAAGGATAAAAATTTCAAAAAATGATCCACAACAATTGAAACCAACACAAAGAATTGTAAAAACTGAGGCAAAAACAAACAAAAAATAAAAATAAAACTTTTGACACAAGAAAATTCATTAGGTATATCAGTTTCGTAGGAAGCAGTAGATAGAGTCACTAAAATCATGTACTTAATAACACCATTCTTTTTTTCCAGAGCTTCAATTTAGTTGGTTGGAATCATCTTTGTTTTATGTACCTCTGTTTTTTTTTGAGCTCAGGATGGTAAACAGAGTCATCCCATTATACTGCAATAAAGAATTTCATTGCTGTTTCGTGTATGAATAAAATAGCCATAAGGTTAGCCCATTAACCGAATAATAAAGTAATTCCATTTGAATTGACGTTATTGTTCTTTTCAAATGACCCAGTTGCTCTTGATGAGTTTCAATGATAACCTATCCTAGTCGAATTATACAAGGCGGCCAAACAAAACTAGCAAATTTTTGATTATTTTCTCCACTTTCTTACCCTCTCTTAGGGGGGTTGAGCTGCTTCTACCTACTAAATGAATTAAATTGGTTGATTTCAACGCAATGAGCCTTAATTTTCCAGTAGTAGGTAGATCAACAGTTTAAAATTAATTTAGCTACAAAAATATTGAATAATTAAGTTCTGTTTCTTTGCTCTATATAAATACATACATAAACTTTATAATAATTATGTATTCCCTCTACCACAGTTTCCACATTAGGTATATTATATACCTGTACTAAATTATTCATGCACTGAACATCAACAGAATTTGGGTCACTTATCTCTAGGGGCTCTATAATTAGATAGTCAATAATATGCCTAATTAAATTTTGGTGGTGAAGTGTTCAACTTTATAAAGGCAGGTATATAGCTGCTCTATTTTTGAGTTTTTGACCTTGATAAAAAATATTCAGCATTAATATTATTTGTAATTTTAAATTGGTTTTAATTAGGGATATTAAAAACCGGATTGTTGCAACTTTCCTACTACATTTTCAACATTTGATGAGTTAATTTTAGTTTTATTGCAATTTTTTTGATAAATTCTGTAAAGAGATGTATAAAATTCAACTATAGGAACATGAAATATATCTAATAGCGGTTGGGTTACAGTGCCCATCCAATATCTAGTTTGGCTTACTTGGGAAATAGAAGTAATTAACAAACAATAATGTATTTTTCTTTGTGCTTCTGGTGTGGGTAGTTCAACGCACCAGAAAGTTCTTCAAGTAAGGCATGGGAACAAACGTATAACTTTTTGTGTGGGCAAGGTAAATTGATCAAATATTTTCAAATGCCATGAATTGAAAATATAGCCCATTATATGAGTTTTTACTCAAAGGAGACTCTATGTATGAATATGAGAAAGTATCCTCCTACTTTTTTCAGTTAATGTGAAGCTCGATCCTGGCCTAGTCTCTCTAAATTAAAAGAATAGTTGAAAAAAAAAATTATTTGGTTTCCCTACAATACCTAAAACAAATCATCTATAGTCAATTAGTGTTTGGAAGCTGTGAGTAGGTAGGAATTTCAATAATTAAGTGGAGGTGCAGAAAGAATACAATTAATACCGAATTCACATCAATTTAATTAAAGCTCAATTATTTTTAAAATAACTTTAATGAGGCCCTGTTTCTTAGTAATTTGAATGACAATAGATTTTCATTTAGAGCGAGCTCTATGGTGTATATAGAACTAGGAAAAATATCTTACTTCTTTCTGTCTATGTGTAGCTCCCGGCCTAGTAATAAGTGCTGTTCCATTGCATACGACAGCACAGTCCTCAACAAAAACACACTCAGGTAGAGCCTCGTCAGGTGGCAGTTCTATGACATCCAATCCCAATTCTCTCAATAATCTGACATAATTTTCGTGCTCTTTTTTCGCTTCTTCTAAATCAATTTCGCCGCGGGTTCTCAATGAAAGGGGAATTCGACTGACCACGGCGTGAGTATAGCGAAACGACGCCATTTTCTGGTCTGTACTACAGCTATCGCCAACAAAGGTCGCAGCTGGACTACTAAACTGGGAAGGCGATTGGCGCGAAAGATATGATGGTCGGGTCGGTTCGTGCTTTTTGGAATGTTTCTGCTTACTGGTCCTTCGAGCCGGTTTGTTTGAGATTTCAATTCTGCTAATACTATTATTAAGTACATAAGGTGTGAAAAAACATGATGCCTATTGACTGATTGAGAATAATTGAGATTGATAACATTAATTTAAAAGCACTTTATTTTATGGATCTGATGTTACCGAAGTGAATAAATGCAAATTGATGTTATTCAGTTATCAGGATATAAATTTTTAGCGGGAGTAGAATCGTAGAAATCAAGAGCTTTTTTTAGACTATACTTTTTGATGATCTTAGGTAAGTAATTGTTTTTTTCGAATATGCAAGACTCTCTTTGATGAAACACAGATGGAAAATGTAGATTGAAATACTCTTTACTGGGGAAAAGCATAGTTAATTACCAATGTTAAACACTCCTTATGGCTGAAAAAATTTTGAAAACCCATACTATCTGAAAAGTGAGCCGCACTGATATATTCAACAACTACTGCAGAGTAGGCATAACATAATTTAAGAAGACTAAAGAAACACACATGTCTCTGGAATCAAACTTTATTTGTACTACTTATATCCTATTCACAATCTGTAGTCCAAAGGCACATGTAAATTTATCACCTTTCCCTATCAAATAGCATTGAAAGGTGATATAAATTTTACCTGTATCTTTGAACTACAGATTGTGAATAGATAATATATACTGTACAACTTTTTGCCTGCTAGCTTCAGAACAACTATCAGATTAAACATAGAATTAAAGAATGAATAGTGATGAATAGTGAAGTAAATATAACTATTAACGATGTTAATTAGATTTCTTTTCTCTTTTCCATTTTTCTATTTGTTTCTGTTGGATAAAGGGAAGCGAAAATAATTTTTGGATTATTATACACACTGAGCACCTTTGTTAAATGTGTTAAATTTATTTATTTCCTAATGAACTATTATAACCATATAATACCTTGGTTACAGTAATCATGAACAGGGTCTTAATTCCCAAGGGAGCTAAGGATTTCATAACTCCCGCGCGGGAGTTAAGGATTTCATAACTCCTGCGCGGGAGTTAAGGATATCATAACTCCCAAGGGAGTTAAGGATTTCCATAACTCCCGCTTTTACCTTGAATAGGTGAAACTTTGACAAAAAATAGAAATTTTGGCTTATGGTTTATTCCTTTATAAAAATGGACAAAATACAGTAAATTCAGTAGGAAATAAAATTATCTATGTACCACGGGAATTATCAGGTGTTAATACCCACGGGCAATTGGCTAACACAAACTTTGCCCTGGGGTATTAACACCCTCATCATTCCCTTGATACATAAATAACTATTATTGCACAAGTTTTTAACGTTTACCTACTAGTGTTATTATATAAGTATTTAAAGTTAAGGCAATAAGTATTTATTATCTATTAACTGCACACACAGATTCTCCATAATCCATTGTGCAGTTAATAGTCATTTGTACTTAATCAATGTACCTATCTGAGTATTGAATAAATTTATTAAGTACCTATTTTTTATAATTATTATTTATTATTTATAGGAAAGGAAAGCAGGGCTCGATTCGGTCGGCCATTATTGCAATTCAGCGCAATAAATAATTCATATGGAAATGCTCTACCCGTTGATAAATAAATAATTATATAAATAGCAGGCCGAGACGAGCAACAGACATACTTGAACCAATCACTGTTAGTACCGCCACCCTGAGAGAGCCCCTGAGTCAAGTCTCCCCAGTGCTAGTACCGCCTCTTTGGGAAAGCCCCTATGGGTAACTGCATCGTCATCTAGTGTGACGGTGACGTATCGCCGCCCTGGGAAAGCCCTTCTAGATGAGGATCAGTAAAACAACGCGTAGGTAACATTAGTATACCGATATTCCTAAAGTAGCATCCGACGAGTGGCCTTATCCGAATCCGCAAGGAAGAGGCATGGATCCTGGAGGATTCATGGTTGTTGTGTACGGGGCTTAATAATAAGCATCGATATGTGCGCATGTACATGACATGCGGAGACCGTAGGTCGAAGAGCAGCTTGGCTGAGGCAGAGAGTCGAGAACGAACGAAGCTACTACACGCAACGGGAGAGACAACGTGGCTCTAGACTCGAACTCAGTAAACTAAATAAATTAAAGTCATGCATTGTTATATAAGTTGTTTTATTGGCACTCCTCGATACCTCGGAAAGTAAATACATAACAATGGTAAGGATTTCACAGAGCATATAGGTACATATTTTTATAAAAACTGAGCGAGTTTCTCTCCATCCATCCACCCTACACTCCCCGTCACAAGAAGGTTGTGACAAAATATACCATACCCTCGTCAAAATTTTTTAAAGACGACTTAATCTCTGTCGCCCTACTCTTATCAATAAGATGGTATACCTACTACTGTCTGAGTTAATTTTACTGGAAAATCAATTTTTGTTGCCATTATATCAAGACAATAGACATATCAATTATTTCTCATTATTGAACAAATGCACATTTTGACTAGCTTTAAAGAAATCTGTTAACACAACAGTTATACACTCTAGTAAAAAAGTTTTTTTCCGGGCTATAATGATAATGCCGTGGTCGAGTAATATTTCTACTGCTGCCGTGGACATCTTCAGATAGGAAAGGAAGGGTCTTTGTCTTCCGGAGAACTGGCAACCAGCATTTGTTAAGGTTCATGCCCTCTTCTTTTCTGTTGAAGTTGTTGTGGTGTTTCTGTATTTCTATGACTTCTCTGTGGAGCCTGGTGTGAAAATCTTTGCTCCTATCCAATTCTTGAGTCTGGTCGAAACGAATGACATGGTTTGTTTGTGTTAACACGTGTTCGGCGATTGCCGATCTATCTATTTGTCCCTGCTGACAGTTTCTCTTGTGCTTTTTGACCCTGGTGTTGATAGAGCGTTTGCTTGTTCCTACATTATAGACAGATCCGCAAGAGCAGAGAATTCTACAGACGCCAGCCGTTTCAAGAGGTACTCTAGTTCCTAATTCTTCTTGTGGACTTTTAGATGGGCTTAATATTGTGTTTTTTTAGCCTTCGTCCTATGCGATCTGTGACATTTTTGATGTAGGGAAGAAAGGCTCTTCCTGCCACCTGTGCTAATTCCTTATTCTTTGTGCGCTGTTGCTTAGGTCTTATAGCTCTATTTATCCTCTGCTTGGAGTACTCATTTCCTTCAAGTGCTGATTTTAGGTGTTGCATCTCGTCCTGAAGGCATCTGGGTTCACAAATCCAGATTGCCCTGTCAGATAAAGTTTTAATGACTCCTATCTTTTGTCTAGGATGCTGATTGGATTCATTGTTGAGGTATCTGTTCGTATGCGTCGGCTTCCTATATACTCTGTATCCCCAGTTTACCTGGGGGCCGATTCTCGTCTCAGGGAGTAGAGCTCCCCGAGAGAACAAATTTTGCGTCTTCTTCACTCTGGTTTACTTTTCGATTACATTGACAAGGACAAAGCATTCGTTCTATCGGGGAACTCTACTCCCCCAGACGAAAATCCGGCCGCTGAGGGTAATCTTTCTAAGAGGACGTCGAAGAAATCGAAGAATGCAAAATACAAAAGTGTCATCTACATCACCATTAGCGATAACCGGGCTGAGTGGACTCCCCATTGCGACTCAATATGTCTGCTCAAAGAATTCATTTTGCCATTGGAAGTACGTAGTCGTCAGACAGTGGTGAAATAAGTTGATGATTTTCTCTGGAAAAACATCTTTTTGATACTCTAAGGCCTGATTCACTGGTACCTTGGTAAACAGTGAGACGACATCAAAATTAACCAGAATGTCGTTTGGTAGTAGAGTGATGTTACTGATCTTTTTGATAATCTGAGTGGCCATAAGAGCTGGATTGGCCAATCCGTGGCTGAAGGAGAGTGGTGAGGTATTTGGTATTTGGCTATGCTGTCTGTGGGCGAATCTATTGCACTTACAATGGGTCTGAGTGGGTAACCTTATTTGTGAATCTTTGGGAGCCCATATATTCTAAGTGGTACTGGTAAGGCCTCAGATTTGATGAGTTTCCTTATGTTTTCCTGGTCCAACGGTAGTGCTCGAATGAGTTGATTAGTTTTTCGCAATATCGGAGCAGTTGGATTGCCCTTCAGCTTTCTGTAGATGGAGGGGGGTCTAGCAGTTCGGAAATTTTTGATTCATATTCAGTCACATTTCACATTCATGATTAGGTACCGTTGCGTTTCCTTTATCCGCAGGCAGGACAAGGAGAAAAGAAACAACATTAAAGGACAAAAAATTAAAAGATCACTTTAAGAGTGAGGTTTTGGAGACGCCAATGATAAGTGATCATTATATAGTGCAGGTACATCTGCAGCCTACAGGGACATGGAAAGACGACTTATTTATTACCACAGGGGGAAAGATAAATTTTGATGAAATTAATAGGACACTACAACTGGTAAAGTCCATTCCAAAATATTTCGTTGACTTCACGGCTATAAAACCCTACCATAAATTAGATAGCTATTAGCCTCTATTGTGTAGGTACCAGGTTCTTTTATGTAGGTACCGGGTTCCTTAATACCCACTCAAAGGTTTACAGGTACGGATTTTGTGCCCATTATAATGAAAACGAAAAAGGCGTTTCATAATATTATTTATTTATGTTATAATCTTATACTATCTTAATAATTACCAAAACTTAATATCTAATACAATATAATACAATACACAATTCAACCAATACTACCATCATTTGCCCATGGACGCCACATTTTTTTTGTCAATATAACAGCTCTAGTTCTGCACAAAGACTAAATAATTTAACTAAAACATTCACCCACATTTACATGTACATCTCACCTAGGCAGGTATAATAAATAAAATCAACCCGGACCTGCTCACAGGTAGTCGAAGTTTGTGGTTGAGGGTATCATCAACATTTTATTGATACTTGAAGAGTCAACGAATTATTTTGG